AGTTTGAGGATACCCGGATGCCCAAATCCGGGTTGTAGATCATAGGCCAGGTGGAGTATGTATCAGCTAACCGGGTCATCTAAAACGGGTACTTCCATGAGAAGGACAAGTTTGAGGATACCCGGATGCCCAAATCCGGGTTGTAGATCATAGGCCAGGTGGAGTATGTATCAGCTAACCGGGTCATCTAAAACGGGTACTTCCGAAGTTCAAAGCTTGGGAGGATGATGGGCTGGGAGGAGATTCGCAAAACATGGTGAATTTGTGGGGATATAAAGTGGGATAATATGCATTAATAACCACAGGGGATAAAACTTGACGCCTGCTGCAATTCGGGTGATGACAAGTGATCATATGGAGAAGGAAATAGATAAATTTGTACTTAGGAGGCTATCGACCAAGGGTTGTGTTTGCTAACATACGATATTAGATTGTAAGGGGCTAGTAGAAGCCGATAAAAGCGCGTAGAGGCGTGGTATGGGAATCAGATGCATAAGGGCTGGCGGGAGTGGACTTCTAAAATAGCTGGCTGATCTGGTGTTTATTACATGAGTTGGGTTGTACCAGGAGAGAAAGTGTGTGCAAGAGTAATAGGCACTAGTCCCCGAAGCACTGCTATCAGCTCTAATCTGTAGATGGTGCATAGCAAGTATCTACCACTAATCAGTGTCTATCACTGGGAGCGGTGAGTAGATGTATTCTCTGTTTTGAGGACGAAATAGGCTTTGGTGCGGTGTAGCATCTGTTGTGACGAAGGCAGATACAGCTATGCTCGCCGGTGTAGGCCATGGGCACTTGCAGAGTATCTTTGGGCTATCTCAAGTGAACTTTTTTCACAGGTGTGAGGCCAGTTTATTCATCTGTGGTTTATGGTATTGCCAGATGCATAACTCAACCGAGGCGAGCCAAACACCAGCAACAAACAGAACTCAACAGTACTTTTTTTGATTTCCTGAATTTAAAGACCAGACTCAGAACCACCGGCGATGGGCGACGCACCCGTGCTACCGGAGGGGTGGCGGGTATCCGAACGCACCATGGTGCAACGTAACAGGGCGACCCTCCCTGCAGGGCGTACCTGCCCACTACACGGGGTTTTCTTCCCTCGTGCATGCTACCAGATCTGCTAGGTGGAAAACCATCCAAGCAGTCATAGGTGCGGTTTGTGCATTATTAAATACTCCAGCTACCAATTTTTTGGTAGGGGAAAGTAAGGCCAGTAATGTTTTGACAACTATGCTGCAAAAGAGTGGAAACAAAAAATCTACCGAAAGGACTACCTCTTCCGACGACCCAGACATCAAGAAAGGGCACAAAAACGTCGTGTGGAAGCCATCGCGGTATCAGCCTGCTATCGCTCGCATCTCAGGTGCTTTCTGGCAGTATTTTTAACAGATTGGTGTATTAACGCCAGAGACAGATTCCTGAGAATCAAGATGGGTCTTGCTCAGGTTCTGGATTCAGCGACCAAACCTTCTCCGCGGACTGCGCCACCTTTCGGGCATCCAACGTTGTTCGTTTTCCTTGATTTGAACACTGCTTTTGGTTCAGTCAATCGTCAGAAACTTTGGCAGTGTCCGGCGATCACCGGCGTCCCTCCCAAAATTCTCTCTCTTATGAGGGCACTGTGTGTTACCTTCTGTGGGCGCGTGGGAGCATACGGTAAGCTCTCTCCCGAATCCACTACATCCAGTGGTTTAGTACGAGGGTGTCCTCTTTCCCCTTTCCTCTTCAGAATTGTTATTGATATGCTGCTTGAAATTTCTCTGCCTCTCTGAAACCTCGCGAGTGAAATGCTCCCGGGACGCTCCCTCGATATTGCTCTCATCGGATCAGAATCTTCTCAAGTGCATGCAATTTGAATCAACTTACTAATTCTGTGTTGTGACTTGCTGAACGCCCGTGCAATTCTGTGTCGTTTGTTGGCATCTTGCTCCCCCAATGTGGCATGTCAAAAGACACTGTAACTTCAGGCAGCTCTTTATGGAGATGAATGAAACTTTTTACGATTGTATCCATATCAAAGAATGCTTCACAGAGTCGTGCCAGAACACCCCTGAGGGGGCGAGAAGCGTCGAGCTGAAGATTCTCAATCCAGATTAGCTGGCATTTGACCAATCAGGGCATGCCCTAGTTTGGTCCGTAGCCTGCGCACATTACTGCGGTTTCGGTGTGGTCTTCGTGTTCTAACTTCATTACCACCGCCACTTCTGAAGGTTGATGAAAGGGATTATAATTAACGATGGCACGCAATTAGACATCTATCGGCACGTTACGCTGGGGGCAGCTGGCCTTCGGACGCACATGCAAAATGTAAAGTGCTGCTACAAGATTTGGTGGGATCAAACCCACCAACCATGCTTGCAGGCGAGCCAATCGATGTAGTCGATAGGTTTATTTATCTGGCATCTTCATAATATCCGGTGAACTGGCGTGAGATGAATTTGTTTCTCGAATCAGAATAGCCAGGGAAGGCTTTGCCAAACTCCGACGCCAATGGCACCGACTTGACGTCATTTTGTTTGTCAAGGACAGAGTTCACACTGCGGTAGTGCGAGTCATACTCCTTTGTGAATCGCGAACGTGGCCCCCTACCCGCATAGAGCGTACGGCGTCTCCGAAGCATTGGCCAGGTCTGGTGGGAACATCGGATTAGAAATGCTTAGGTACGGCAGGTGGTCATAGGAATTCCCAATCGCATTCAGTGCGTAGCTAGCCAATTCTCGAACTAACCAGATGTGCCATCACCTCCAAGGCTGGGCTGTATTTTCCCATCTTCCGGTGACCGAAACTGTAGCAGCTGGAACCAATGTGCTCATGGTACACGGTTAATAGCTGATGAACTGAATTGAATTAAATTGCTCCGGCTGAGTTTTTATACTATCGGCCAAAAGTCCTTACGAAAGCTCCCGTCCCGCTCGCTTTGGTGGCTTCTGGGCACCTGTCATAGAGAGTGCAGGCTTGGGGTCTCTACTCACCCGAAGCCGTTTCCGTCCCATGTCGCTGTGGTTTTCCAAGTTTCTCAATGTCTTACCTAACGTGTGGGCTTAATGCCTGCACGCACCATTTTCAGTGAGAACGTACGCATTTTGGAGAAGAATGGAGGTTTTTGTGGTCTACAGCCACAATGCTTGCCCTTGACTTGCTATTCCATCCACTACAATACACCAAACGGCACAGTAACTTGAGATGGCCCTTAATGTTAGAGAAGGAAGAATGCTACAGTTCTATTTACAGGGTTATCACAACCTTTCACAAGTGCATACTAGAACCTTCGTGATAGGGGAAGAAGCGCCGATCTAAGAGCTCTCGGTTTCGGCTGTCCATATTTTGACCAAACAGGAAGACTTCAGTACAATATTTCGGGGAAATTCTAATTATTGTCTCTTGTGATGGCTCTGTATGCTTCCTTTTGTGAATGCGTACGTGCTTACGCAGATTCCCTGCTGAGTTTACGTCTAATAGTGTCAGGCAAGGACGTCCTCTGTCGCCCTTTTACCTTAACTGCGCTCTCGATGTACTACCTGAATCTTTGCCTGCCTCTAACACCTCGGATATCAAATCACTCCAAGGGCGTCTGCTCACGGACGTTGTGTTAACCGACAACATTGCCCCCCTTGGATCGGACACCTTGAAAATGTCACCTAAATAGTTCTGCTGCACAATTTGGCATGCGCTTCACACATGCAAAATTTAAAGTACTGCTGCAAAACCGTGTGGGATCGAACCCAAAAGTCGTGTTTGTAGGTGGTCCATTCGTCTATCTGGGCAACCGCAAGGTCTCGGCGAACTGGCTAAAGACGAAATCTCCTCCCGAATCGGAAAGGCCAGAGCAGCGTTTATCAACCTCCGGCATTTGTGGCGCTGACGTGACATCAACCTGACGACCAAGGGTAGAATGTACACTGCCGCGCCCCGATATGCCTTACTTTATGAATAAGCGAAATATCCATTGTGTGCGGTGGATCTTCAGAGAATCGCATTGCGCGGGTGTGGTGGAAACGTCATCAGTAATGGTGAGGTACACCAGATGGTTTTTGGGGAAGCTATCTCCTTTGGTAGATAAGCTGGTTATACTCTACAAGTTACGCTGATTAGCCACGTACTTCCTACTCCAGAGGAGGCCGCTTCTGCTAGCCTTGTGTCGGACAGAGACGGAGAGGTGGTCAGTCAATGACTTGACAACACTGTGAAAGCCCTTACCAAGTGATTACCCTAGTTAGTCCACACCAAAGGAGAAGGGGGCACTTGTTTTGAGTTTTGGTGGTAGTAGAGCTCATCATGCCTGTCCTTGGTGGTATCGCGGTGTGCGCTCCAGCCACTCGACATTCGAGGCGAGCGTGCTACCACTACCATTGGAAGAAGCACGAAATCTGCCAGGTCATCTACTCCTAGAAAAGGACAATCAAGATCCCCAATTTGGTTTTGAACTACGAACTTTTCTATTAGTAAATTCGCGACATAAGCACTGATCAGTCTCAGTGGTCTCAGAGCGCTCTCGAACCAGCAGGTATCTAGCTTCAGTTTGAAAACCTACACAGTCGCGGCAGCTACGAGTTCAGGTGGTAAATTATTCCAGTAGTCTACGGATCTAGTCGAAGACGTTGCCTTTAAAACTGAACTTTTTTATTCTTTTGAAAGATTGCATAGGGATTAATGGGGGCGAAATGGCCCAAGTAGTTAGAGCGCGAGTTTACTGACCGGAAGGTCCATGGTTCGAACCCGATCTCTGCTTCTCGACTTCCCATGTCTAGGCTTGGGCAGCTTTTCAGTATCCCAGCCCTCGTGCAACCTTCGGGTGGCATGGCAGCTAGGCACAGAAAGGGTGTTACAGCTGAACGGTTTATCAATTTTTTATAGGGATTAAAATTTGTCATAGATTCACGGCTTGATACACGTGCTCGAGGATTTTGTCTAAGCTTCAGATCGGGTTTGTTCTTGCTGGTCAGCGGCTTCCGTTCAATTTAAGTTAGGGTGTTGGACTGCTCTCTACTTTTCCCCCGTCCAGCAGTAAGCCTATCAACACAAGGAATGGAATAGAAGGTATCTAAAAGTGATTTGAGCTTAGTCTAAGATGCAGTGTTGACGACGGTCGGAGGAAGGTTATTTCAGTCACCAGCTGCTCGAAATGAGAACGTTTTCTAGTAAAAGTGCTCTTTCTCCGCCATGTATTAGTGGAGTCCATGGTAAAAAGATGGGCTAGATCTTATTCAAAGAAGACGTAATTTCAGGTCTCCTCAGAGCTGACGATAATCGAGGGGAAGGAGATCAAAGCTCTCAAAATGCGTTTCATAATTCTCGGATTACAGACCGGTATCCATGTTCGTAGTACCTCACTGGGCATGCTGTATGACTGTGACGTCCTTTTTTCCCCAGGTAAGACAACTTGGTGTATCCAAGTAGTAATAGCTTGAAATTAACACTTAATGGACTAAATCTCAATTGAAAATTTTAAAATTACCTCGACGTAACAACACTTGAAAATGTCCGATTCAAGTTCTCTTATGGCTGTTCCTGGTACCAAATTCCCTCAGTCGTCCTACCCTCAATGTAGGGTTCTATGCCCACCGAGCGTATTACTTCTGAATCCTTACATCTCAAGAATTCACCGGCGTGGCCGCAACATCCGACGGCCTGTACGATTCAGACCATGTTGGTATGATTTCTGTTCGATGGACACCATTTTCCTCCTAAAGCTTATCACAATCATAAGCGGCTGTTGGTTTTCAACCTCGCATAGGAGCGAAGCCCTATCTATCGCCCCTACCCGTAACGTCGCCCACTCAGTCCGTCGCTGTTGCTGCAGATCAGGAAAATATTGTTTTTGGACCCCAGATCCTTCCTAGTAACTAATCCCTTGTTCCATTCCCGAGACGAAAATATCAGTGGGCGTAGTAAAAAAAGACCGTTCAGCTGTAGCACCTTTTCGGTGCCTAGCTGCCGTGCCATACGAAGCAGGCACGAGGGCTGGCTTACTGACGGGTTGCCCAAGTCTAGACGGGTGAAGTCGAGAGGCAGAGGTCGGGTTCGACCTCTGACTGACCACTCGGTCAGTAAATTCGCTCTCTTATCACTTGGTCCCACTCGCCAAATGCGCGAAGTAGTGCTGTTGTAATCAAACGCAAGTCGGCGCAGATAATCAACACCGGGTCTCATATGTGCTGTCTTGTTGCTCAGGCTAAACGGTTGCTGAGTACTTGACTGCCTAAGCTTGCTGGTAGTGAATTTAGCAATCATTGCCTCTCATTACATATCGGCCTCAAGTCAACGAAGGAAACACTTACAGGGTTCTGGTGCTCTTGATTTCTGCCCACTAACATATTGACATTAATTGATCCGAGGTTTCTCGACTGAGGCCTCGTTTCTGTGGCAGATTGCATGGAAGCTATCAACTCGAGGACTACGACGAGCCTACCACTACTACGATACCCACCACTAATAACTGTGAGGTTTGATGATGATTCATTGTGGTGGCACCGGATTCCAAATCAATGGCTGTCGTTCTTCCTGATTGTCCGATGGAGCGCCTTCAATGTCGCCACTGCAATCTGAGCATATTCTTGTGGTCGCCTATTTTGCCTGTCAGAATGCGCCCGTTCACGTAAGGTCTATTCGGTTCACTCTACCGAGGTGTGAAAGACACACTACTGCTATTTCCAGCCCAAGTGGTAAAAGCGCGAATTTACTGATCGGAGGTTCCGTGGTTTGAACCCGACCTCTGCCTCTCGACTTCCCCTGTCTAGGCTTGGGCAACCTGGCAGTATTCCAGCCCTCGTGTCTCCTTCGTGTGGCATGGCAGCTAGGCACCGGGAGGGTGCTACAGCTGGACGATTATTTCTAGCTCATTGTCCTAAATCTCACGAACACAGAGCTCACCTGAATCATTCAGACTCCAGATTTCTCACCCATTTTTTGTTTGACTTCCAGCAACGTTCCTTCATGTATGGATGGTCTTAGTTTGGTATTCCAACTGAGCTGTGGCTGTGAATGTTCCGTTCGCGCACCGCTTCGCGCGGATCTTGTTGCAGGACTGTACCAGGATCCATTATCGCCACTGGAGCACATGGCCGATAACAACATGTGGTCGCACCATCCGGGCTGGATAGAGATCAAACTTCGACGCACCCCGAATACTTCTTATTGGGTTGCAGCATTTCTGTTGTGCATTTTTATCAGCTTTCTATTTGGATGTTTCTTCGAAGTGAGAATCTTGCACTCTTACAGCTTATTTCCATAGAGGGCGATGGTTTGCTGGACAGATTCAGACGCATCCTACGGTGGTCCATAAAATTCCGTTCCATGTAGTTACAGGAGGTCGTACGCATTGTATTGCTATCATAGCACTGACTTCGAGATAGCTCAGTGGTTAAGGTGTGAACTGGAAGATCCTTAGTTCTAACTCTGCAGCTAGGCGTCGAAAGAGTACTACGGCTGAATGATTTAGCACCAAGTCAACGTATAGGGGCTGTTTGCATCTCAAAACGTTGGTCAGGGGCTTCAGGACTAGTATTCGTTAGATAAAATGTTGCCTGTTTTGTACTGTCATAAGACTTGACCTTTGTGAGTGTGGGTTCTGAGACGTCTTGATGCGGTTTCACAGACCTCTAGTTGCTATCGGCTGATACCAACGGCTTCACATTGATGGTTTGGTTGGACAGCGCTTCTAGTGCAACGACGAATCCGGCAATGCGTTGGCTATAGCATGCGCCACTCATCCTGATTTTACACGGGTAGACAAGAGTATAGTTTTACGGTAATAATTTCAGTGCGACAAGCCAAGATGATTGGCAGATCATCATTGTGATCATCCTGTATAGCAACAAAACGGTCGTGAAAACCGGTGCTTAAGCTCCACACAACCATGAGTGACTAAAGCCTCAGTAAAAACGGAAAGTAAATGTAGAAAGTAGGGACTGATTGTAAAAATCTCTATTACTCTATGGAACGCAGCCAACAACACCGTACACCTTCCAAGTCGTTTGAAGTGATTACACTTGTGGGATCGACTCAGCATGCTTTGTGAACCTCACCCACCACAAGCCAAGAACACAACAGCACATAATAGCCGTCCAGCTGTAGCACCCTTTCAGTACCCAGCGGGGGGGACAGGGCTTAACCGCTTTCAGATTCAGACAGGAGCAGTCGCTATGTAGAGGTTGGGTGCGAACCACGAACCCTCCGGTCAGTAGGTTCGCACCCTAACCATTGAGCTATCTCGGGCTCGTGCTAGTGCATGCTGGGTGATGTCCGGATAGGAAGTGACAACTCACTCGCAGTGGATTACGTTTCGTGTCCTGCAGAGTTTCTAGCCACACGCATAGAAACTTACGTGACCTCCAGGAGGGTGCGAAGATCTCAGAGTACTCACTTTAATAGTAGCTGCTTTCAATTCGTGTTACAACTTCATTGCCCATCCTTTGCGAACGTCTACTCAACAAGGATTTGGAATGGTGAGTAAGGCTTACTCTGGTGGACGGTGATCAGACACATGTAATACATGTTTCACTCACAAACGTACAACGTTTTTCTGCTGCTCAGGTAATTCCAACTCATTACTAGTTGGACTTAGTACTCCAGCTTACGGACTCGCTTACGGACTGTTTCATTACATAACTTGGCAGGGGGAATCGAAGAGCATATATAGCGCGGGATATCATATTCTAGAGTATGAGATGTGTTGGTAGGTACTCCACGGAAATTAACGTATTTCTTAACTTATAATCTAGCCCCTTGTTGTTTTCCAACTGACAGTGTATCCCCTCTAAAAGGACCATCAGGAGCAACCGCTTATAAGATTAAATAGCTGATAGTTGGTCTCTGAGAGCATATTCAACTAGTGCTTTGTGTACACCGACAAGGGCGAGATGGACCATGTGGTTAGAGCGTGAATTTAACGACCGGAAGGTCCGTGGTTCGAACCCGACCTCTACCTCTCGACTTCCTCTGTTTCGGCTTGGGCGACCTGGCAGTATCCCAGCCCTCGTGCCTCCTTCGGGTGGCGTGGCAGCTAAGTACCGAAAGGGTACTACCGCTGAACGATCTTATTTCTTTATTTTTACAGTAACAACTACACTCCACCCCCGCACTGACAGTGTGATCTCGCTTGGTGATGAGACGTTTGCAACCCAACTGCCAAGCTTAGCGAACAGACCGGAGAGGGTGCCTGAAGGGACTCACAAAAGGTGGTACTTTTGATACGTGATCTCTGGGTAAAGTTCCTGGTGGCCAACCACAATTGATTTCGAAAACATATAGATCTTTTCAATAATTTAAATAACGGAGACTGGTAAGTACGTGTATTTCGTATTGATTGGTCCGTACCAAGTCACCAATTGGAGGAAAATTTTTTGTAGTTTCTGCAAAAAGGGGGGGTAGTTACATGGTTTGACTGGCCGGTCTGTAATCTACGGGTTTCTTTCGGAAACATAATGAAAACCCAAATTGATTGGTTAGCCTCAGCAAATTGGAGAATACCTGAGTTCTGACGTCTGGTCAAAGTGGTGACGGTCAAATCAAATCGAGCTGTGACCACAGGTCGAACGGTTTGTCAATCACTTACTGTGGTAGCTTACGATCAGATAACCGGCCTGAGTATTGATCTAGGCCAGAAAGGAAGTATTCTTCTTACTGACATTGCGACGCCAATCGGTGTTGCCTATGTAGCTTTCTTCGCAGTTACTTATGTATTGGCATGTACAGTGGGACTTAGCATGGACAGGTTTCTTCCCTTTAACTGCCGACAGTTAGGTGGAGAAATCGGATCTCCACAGCTTTCTACGTCCTGTTTGGCGCAACCGTTAAACGTTCGGTTGTAAAGAAATCGTTCAACTGTAATACGCTTTCGGTGCCTAGCTTCCATGCCACCCGAAGGAAGCACGAGGGCTGGAATACAGCCAGGTTGCTCGAGCGTAGACAGGGGAAGTCGAGAGGCAGAGGTCGGGTTCGAAACACGAACTTTCCGGTCAGTAAATTTGCGCTCTAACCACTTGAGCCGTCAGGAAGTTGCATAAATATCCCATGCAGATTTAGATAATGTGCAAAATTTGCAGTCATTTGGAAGGACTATTGGTCGAAATAAATGAAATCCCAATGCACAGGTCTTTCGTTTTAGTCTTTGTTGACAGGTGGTTGTGCACTACTTGGAGCATTCAGGGTGATCGTCCTTGAAAGTTAGGGAGCTGATCTCAAAGGTTGTCAATTTTAAGCCGAACATATATATATATATATCGTGCAAGCAGATTCGCTAATTTTCAGTGGTGATTTCGTCCCTCAAGTTAAGCCAGTCTATACTAAAACACCTAGAAGCACACTTGTTTTATCCTTATTGGAAATCAGCAGCAATGTATATATCATGAAACTCCAGTTAGTATCAAACTCACGGTCTCCCGGCTAATATATTGACAACGAGCGGCTAATCATCAGTAAAGCTAACTCATGCTTAGACAGACTCGAGGCTATGGAGTTCTATACGAAACGCATTGCTGATGATTCCCCGTAAGGACGAAACAGCTGCACAGTGCTTTCCAGCATAGACTAGCTTCGCTTGTAGGACGAACTCTTCCTATTCTTCGATTGTCTGCGTTGTCCGAAATGAGTTTACTCACCCTATTGTATGCGGCAGTGAGACATGAATTCAACTCGTTTTGTCCAACCTAATGATAATCTTGCCTTCACCTGCAAAGATGATACTGTATTCCTATCCCTCTCTTAGCTTTGTCGCTGATCTGTTGTCGTTTCTTCGCTTCCAGTCGTTTCTCCTTCGGTTCGTGATTTTGATGGTCTTGCTGTTCGCGTTGTTAATACGTCTGCGGAATACGATCGTAGAAGGTAGGTACTCGTTCCAGTGACCAAACATAATCAATTAATCAACTACATGTAACGATCGGACTCTTCGTCGTATACTGAAGACGCTCTTGGTGAAGTACGATCTCAAAGAATCCGAGGAAAGTCGGTCATATTGGAAGGGTTTTCGTATTATGAAGGGGGTGGGGTTAGTCCGACACTACAATGTCTGTCCACATCCATAAGACCATATTGAACAGGGAGTCGTTACAGGAGAGGTCGTTAGATTTTCACTGCTGAATACAATGAATTGCTGCTGTCTCCAAGATGAGATCGCCAAGGTTAGGAGATCATTTGGGTACCTCCTAGAAGACTTCCTTCGGGGCGTAACATCTTCAATCCACTACCAATTTACTTAGTTTTGAATTTGAGGCACCCTTGTCATCCACATTAACTGTTAGATAGGTTTTGAACCAAAGTAGCCACGAGGTCCTTGAAACATGTAGTAGGTTTTTTGCACGTTTTTGACAGATGCTCACATCTGTATCTTTCTTATTGGGAAAAGGAGGACCAACTCAGTTCTTGGACTACAAAATCATAGGCTCTAGGACGGTGTTCTTTCTAGAGGTGGCAAACATGTTAGATTTCTGGCTAGGAAGTGGCACTTAAGCATTCGTATTTACTGACGCTTTGTTGCTGGCAATTATCGTTGTTGTATGTTATGGGAATTGACTTTTCTTCAAAATAGGTTCTATAAAGGGCCTTATCGATTCCTGACTTTGTCATCACTACTTACCGTAACTCTTTTCAGCGCTATTTGTTATCAGTCTCGCTAGTGGTTTGTTGAACAAGCTGGGGTTACGGTCCTCTGGGGATAATAAAGATTTCCAGAATGCAAGATAGGGAGGGTCTTATTTGACCCGATGTTGATTTTTCAGTTCTGATGCATATACTTTGTCATGCACTGCCGAGGTATGTTGACCTCGGTTTATTATGAATAGCATTGTGATTTCTGTAAAGGGCACGTCACCTGTTTATCCACTTCACATTCAGCATGGGCTGCTACTTGAGTCGTACTGTTATCCATCCAACTTATACTCTTCGGACGTGAATTTGAGCATTATTTTCCCTTTATCTCACACCAGAGTCACTTCTTCTGGCTTCAAATTTCGGGATTCAGACCCGACATCGCTTCCTCACCGGGAGACAGTTGTCATCCGCCTTTATCCCGTTGGACCGTCTTCGCGGCCTACTTCTTGCTGAGCGAACCACTCCAACCACAGTTGTGTCATACCTGGCCGCTGAATTATCTGCTGGTTCCTCCATTGCTCTCTCAGGAGAGGGCGATAATGATTCCTTGAGTCACCAGCTACTTCCACTCTTGCCTAGTTGCCTAACCAGTGATGAACAAAACTTTGCCGGCAGCTTATGCCTTCCACTCCCCGCTTTGGTTTTTATTTTAAGATTGGCTCATTCTGTGTGCCATCCTCCCATGTGATACTCAATTTGCTACACGCCACAGTCTTTCACGGTTTCTGATTTCTACTGTTTCTCCGTCGGCGCGACGTTCTCTATTTCATTTTACTACTGAACCGGTTCGAGTAGCCTATCAAAGTGACACTTAAAAGTTGCCGTTGCTGCTGACACTTCTCTCCCTAGATATTGTAAAAATCTTGAGGAAGGGTGACTTCGCCTTCGAAATTTTCAAAAAAAAATGTGCAGTGGACTTCGCTTTTGGGCTGGTTTCAGGCACAAAACGTGATAAATGTCGGTAAACTAATAAGGCCGTATGTTAAGCTCTCCAACGTGAGAATCATGCTTATCTGCGTACTCACCTATCTGGAAGGGAACTGTCCGTTGAAATCCTGCTGCAGGCCTATGAGACGAAGAAACTTTTTCACGCATATTTTTAAACGCCCTGTTTACCTTCTGCGTTGACCCCGGAAGACATCCGCCGTAGATTCTGCATTCTGATGACAAACACGATCGCTGTGTTTGAATTGATTGTCCGGCCCGCCAGCTTAAGTGAGAGGCTTAAGTGTGCCAACCAAAAATAGTCCTTACAGGGGACCTGCTGTATGAGGGTTGGCTGCTTTGTGTGTTGCTGGTTTCACTCTATAGCATCCACACTTCTATAGATTTAGCCTCCAGAAGGTGTTCGTTTTCTAGGGGGTGAATTTTTCAGGGGACGGTTTGTCATCACGTCTCCTTCAGTACACTCCGTTCTACTTCGACAACGATATCATCGTGAATGGCTCATATGTTTTCCTATTGTATACTTGTCCTTATAATCTGCTGTCTATGGACGAGTGTCCTTACTGTTTGTGTCTTTCCCTTTGAGAAAACAGCCGTTTTGTGAAGAGTATTTTCACGACACGGGATTTTCTCACTGCATCCTGACGAATACGGCCCGTGTCAACCCGAGCAGAGGANTTCCCTATGAGAAAACAGCCGTTTTGTGAAGAGTATTTTCACGACACGGGATTTTCTCACTGCATCCTGACGAATACGGCCCGTGTCAACCCGAGCAGAGGACATCTGGTGGCACTCTGTCCTCAAAAGTAACAATGACACTGTCCGTCGATATCGGTTTCGATTTCCAAACCATCAGCCGTGCGGAAACGATTGAAATCACAGACAGACTGCCACACTATCGCAATTTTCTAGTTTGACCAATGGCTTGGCGTAGAAACAGCTTTCATTATCATTGTCAGCTGTAATAACCGCGTACTCGTCATACAGTGGTTGTAGCTGCCGCAGTTCCGTTCACCCATGATTTGGGGGAGAGGGGTAGGTGGCTGCGTACATTGACTCGGAATTGCCAACCATCATTGTCCTGGCTAGATTATGCATACACTATTCGCTCATAATTGCCTAGACGAAGGAATTGGTGGTCGTTTTGTAGAATCACCCTGTAGATTACTTATTTACGGACCTGTTTGTATTCCAGCACACCACAACAAAAACTAGTGAAAACATCTGCAGAGTTACGCGATTTTCGTTGATTAGTTTTGACACGCGCCGAAGTCAGTAGTCTGTTTTAGTCCTTCCATCCCATTTTGAAAAGCAATCCATCATTTTAGCGCTCCGCTAGTACTGCGAACTGGGGTGCTCTAGTCATCGAACATAGCTTGGAGGTAGTAGTCGATAGAACAGACGCATCCAGTTGTGCTCAGATTTATTGGTACGCGTGAACGTTGTGAAGCGTCCCTACCAGAGTGCGTCAATTGCTGTCAGCAGCCAGGCCTTACAGAACTGCTGCCGTCATGACAATCCATCATTTGCAGTTACCATACTGTCCGATCAGTGTGTCTGCCGGGAATCGTTTCCCGGATTGTCCTTCAAAGATGGGTAGATACGACCTGGCACTCCTTGTGTGTATGAACACGTTTATTTGTATGCTTAGAATGAAACACTCGAAGGTTTATCTTTTATGCAGAGGCTCTCAAGTTCTCTGGTGATAACAGAATTCAGACACGACATTCCCAGCTTCATGGCCCAACGGAGCAGAATCCAGGAGTGGAACTATTAATGATAGGAGAAGGCTGCTTTACGAATTACTCACCACAGACTTGATGGCCAAGAAATAAAAAGGCATCACCTACTACAACGGCGATTTTTAATCTAGCCGGTCAGAAAAAAACGGACGTAAATACAGAAAAGAACAATATTACTAATCAGGCAAGTCAGTGGGTGACGTTGGGATAAAGTCCCCCCCCGTCATGTGCTTTTCGTTTTGTGTGGAAATACGACGGAAAAAATAACTGGGCAAACGGAACAACAACGAACACATCGATGTGGGGGTCGAGATTATTTTGGAAAATAGCTCTTCATGATAGAATAAAACAATTCCGACTCAAGGCAAAAGGTGTCACAGGATTTAAACGGAAGCACTTTATCAGTCTGTAGGACGGCGTTTCCGCCGCGGATCATGCATGCTTGAAGTCCTTTACTTGCCTGAATTGGGGCGGATATAATCAGAAATGTGCGAATAGAAACAGATAACGAAAAGCGGGAGGGAAAATCAATAAGAGCTAGATATAAATTTTAAATCCTACCGCTTGTGGCGGTCAGTGGATCTGAATAACTCTGACTGTCTCTCCACTTGTCCGTCTGTGTCAGCACGTCTCTGATTCCCTGTCTGTTCACATTGACGACGTCTGACGGACAGTTTTACACAATTTGTATTCACAATTATAAGCAATGTTCACAAATGTCAATATTCCATCAATAATGCCTCCATAGATTTCCGACAGACGCTACACCGACTGATGTGTTGTAGAACTCCAGTTTCCGATCTGAACGGTGTTCCGATTGGTTTGATAAATTGTTGGTTCTGCGGTATACTGCTTAGCCAATAAGATCGTCCGTCTTGCCAATGGAAGCAATTTCCGTCCTGATTGTTGCACTCAATGAAGGGGAGTGCCCGAAAGTGTTGTAGACAGCTACCAGGAGACTCCAGCGGCTGCGCGCCTCCTGTGGGCCCGGAGACCGTCTAGCAAGAAAGAGGGAGAATTAGGACAAAAGGCTACTGTTGAGTGGCGACATCAATAATTTCGCATGAGAATGCGTTTGGTTCATATGAGCAACATTGTGTCAGATGGTATCGCGAAGAGTAGCCAGTGTTAGCAGGTCACTTACCTTAATGGTGGTGTTTTTTTTACCTCAAAAGCGGGGTTCACTAAGCCGCCAATAGTGGTCTATCCATAACATACCCTAGGACATGCGGAAAACAGCATCCAACCAACTTGCCGAAAGTATCATTTAGCCGCCAATAGTGGTCTATCCATAACATACCCTAGGACATGCGGAAAACAGCATCCAACCAACTTGCCGAAAGTATCATTTCGGAGAAGGTGTCCTCAACACCTGCGGTAGAGTTGTCCTGTTTGTGCTAGCTGTTGAGTCTCTTAGGAACTTTATGAATTCCATTTAACGAGTCGATTCTGCTATCGGATAACGAACAGATAGTAACGGTGTGTCGTTGTTCGGTGGCTTAGGTGGACTTCTGACAAGCTGCCACTGGGTCAAGCCAGCTAACTATCAGAAGGTCGATCTCCGTTGGTTGTGAAACCTCCACATTTCCGGTGCGCTTTCAACATCTCATTCTTTCGCTGGTGTGAAAAGTTTGCCTTAACCAGAATGGTCACTTCATTATTTCCCTTCATCGTGTAGGTGCGACTCGGATCGAGTTCCGGGTGAAGTTTCAAGCATCCGAAACCAGCGGGGCAGTAAACAACTGACCAGTAGTGCGAGGACTCATTGGCAGGGCGTGTTTGAGTTTGAGTGACGGACCGGCTTGTTTTTATGACTACGATTTTAAATAGTCAGACCACTAAAATACCGTCAAACGGTCGTCGAGGCTTCTGGGTTTTGCAAACAGTAAACAGGAAACCGCCAGGGAAACTTTGGTTACAACTATACGTACCATGGGAAAACTAAATCCATTCCAAGCATTCTCCCAGCCAGTTGGGCAGTTTTGTCCAGCGTCTGGGCGCTGCGAATGGAAAGCGACTAGATTGGTTCGTGACTGGCAGACGACGCATCTGAAATAGACAGAAGAATAGCAGTAAATCGAGAGTGAATAACGGACGAATCAGACCGTTTATGAGGGAGATTTGTTTCCATAGGACGGACGCAGATTACTGGCCAGTTTTTCTGGTCTTGAAAGTACTACAGTACGCAGATGGCATACATTCCCTGATTCAAATTTCACGTGACCTATTCAGTCACAGAACTATTCGGTAGTTGCTTCTCTCATCTTTTCAGAGGAGTTTGGTAAACAGTCGGTAGTTTTTAATTGGGAGACGTTTCGCTCTTGACACAAAAGCTTCATTAGGCCAAGTGAGTAGGTCACCAAGATAACTAGGTTTTAACGCAGAAGAAGAACCAATCAACAAAACCTACAGATTAGCACACTCATCATCATCGAGAGCATGACATCAGTGTTCGACGCCGATACTTCACTGCCATACTGTGAATGTCATAGTTGTAGGAGGGCTGGAATACTGCCAAGGCGCCAACACCTAGACAGGAGGACGATTAGGGTCCTCAACCAGAGCCTTTGGCTCAAAAGCCTAACCGCAAGGCAGCGGCGTTTGGCGGGGAAATGCAAATGCATTACCATTTCTACGGAACAAGTCGCCACATGTTCTAAACCCAACCTGGAAGGCCAGATGACTGTATTCGTCAGACATTTAAACATTGACCAACTTGGTGTGAGAGACTGTGAGTGTCACGGGGACACTCTCCAGTATAGCTTAGTGGATCGCTGAGGCGCGCAAACCGTCACACCACGGTAAGGTCCAGTCGCTTCGTGACAGGATTAGCACACTAGATAAGTGTTGAATATCAGTTAAAGGGTCTTGTAGGTTAGTGTGGTTGCCTGAATCTTACGGCCAATGGATTGGGGGAATTCGAAATTACTTTTGAGCGGGTTTAGTTCCTTAATCTTCCGGTTAAATTTCCCTTGACTGCCTCTGGTGGTTTTCGTTGGTCTGTGTGGGCCAATAAGCGCGACGCAATTTAGTTGGCAAGTGGGGTAGGTGAGATAAAGTGCACCCGATGAATCTTCCTTCTGATGCCGATGCTTTTCATCTTTCCTGATTGAGCTTGAGGTAGTTCAGTTGATAAAGCGCGAACGCACTGACCGGAAGGACCGTGGTGCCTGGTAGGCGGCATGGCAGCTAGGCATCGAAAGGGCATTACCGCCGAAGGGGTATTTTTATTTTTAGTTGTAAATGGAATTCGCACTCATATCACTCTGTTTTGAACAGTGGTGGCACTGGGATATCAGGTTCCCGTAGCTCAGATGCCGACACGGCCACGGATGTGCACCGCTTATGAGGTCTGGTGAGAGTAAAAGTCGAGCCCAGGGCCTACCTCCTTTAGTGTGAACTCACCAGAACGATTGAGGCAGGACAGGAGGACGACTGTGAAAATGTGAGTAATGAGAGCTCAAATTGTTACTTTTATTCCTTAATTAAACTGTATTACACGCTTTCTTGATGGAACACTAAGTTTGCTCGAATAACTTGCAGGGCGACATTTTTTGCCTAGCAATTCATCAAGCCCTAGAAAAGAAACGGAAACCGACTAATGGTGAAGAAATATGAACGGTGAGTACGTTCCTCCACCTCATCATACTTAGATGCCAGTAGTTGGGTCCGATTTATGAATTCACTGGAGACACAGGCGTGCGCGCTTTCCTGTGAGCCAACGCTCATTTTCATACGCCTCAAGTGAAAGGTCAATAAAGCGGTCCAACACTGTCACGACAGAGGAAAGGAAAATACAGACTTGTTCTCAAGACGAATTCCGTAAGGAATAATGCATGGTATTCGGGAATCGCGCGAACCCTGTTCACACAAGTGACGCTTAACCAATTGCGATAATGGTCACCTGATTGCGTAATAATCGATAGGCATGATTTCGCAATCATGTGGTCTAGCTATCGAACAATTTAGTATAATAGTGTGTTGTCCACATGCGAATCTTTCTCACCTTCTCTGTGAATCCGAGAAAACGGCTTCACGTGCGCAATAGAAGCAAAATAAATAGGTAAGATGATGGTTGCCTAGACGTAAGACACTACTCATGAGAATACTGGAAACTTCGAATCGGACCACGATAAAGGAGAGATTCACCTAGATTCAGTCAAGTCTCCTCTCAAAACCAACTTCGTGTGTAAATGAGGCTATCTGTTGAGAGGTGGTGCACTGTTATTTACAAAGTGGTTGAGAGTCGCGAAGGAACACCACGTTTCAGATGCAGCATGTTCCTAGCCACTGTACGGAAGCCGTGTATGCTTACAAATTCGTAAACCTGAACACTATCACCAAATCTCTGATCTACACACACATCTAAAATTTCGAATATTATTGATGTTTCACTATGTTCCATAAGCTGATCTTTACTCAGTACCACTCCCTAGCATCTGTAGGGATATCAACGCCCATGAGTTGCGGTGCGCACGAAATCAGGTGTCTCGGTTAGGGTTGAGAAGACTCAAGGGCCATCCTCGTTTCTGCTTACAAGGATTGTTCTTGATTCCACCATTTCGGACAAAGTTTGGAAGCATGACGATACCGGTGCGAGTATTCCAGGTTATCAAGAGGCAGGGGACCAATCAAGTGTGAAAACGCGTTGCACAGGTCAAATGCTTTCGCACACACACAAACCACTAGTATGATGATTCGACGATTACAGACTTTTAGTGAAAGATCGCTCAAACAACACACCCTGTTCATGAGAACATATATTTCTTCAGAACGCTCAACAGTACTGGGGAGATGTAGTATGGTTTTGAAGCCCGGCAACGCGGACAGATACGTTTTGTCTTGCGCTAGGTATAGTAGGCTTGTTGGTGCGATCAGGCTGCATTGGGTCTTCGGGAAAGTAAGTAATGAGAACCACATTTCAGCTTCTGTAACACCATTCCGGTGCCTTGTTACCATGCCATCAGGAGGAAACACGACGGTTGAGATGTTGTCAAGTTACCCAGTGGCGGAGATGCTGGGGTCGGTTTCGAACCATGGACCTGACGTTCAGTAATTTTTCACCCGAACCAATGAACCATCTCAAGCTCAGTACTTTAGCGAAGAACGTTGTGTATACATATATGTACATACAATTACATACAGTCCCTTGGAAGCTTGCGATTGCTACATTTATGCTCGAATAATGTGCGCATTTACGGTGCATGGTATAGCCTTAAACAGCCACTGTACTCATATGTATTGCACCTCCATCATATGAGGGATGGAAACATGAACTGACCTTGAAATGTAGGGCTGTATCCGATCCACTTTTGTTGGGCTAGTCATATACTGCTCCAAAGTAGACAGCCAGTATGATCGCCCGTTGCGTTTGTTAGTGTGGCAACTGCCTGTTGTCTGCGCGAAGCAGGTTGCATAGGGCATGATGGAGAATTTGCGTAGACACGATCCTGGTGAACCTGGTAAAGATGAAGTGAACTTTAGGGTTACGAATGACCGTTTTTCTCACGTGCTCCAACGTACAAACGTATTTCTGTGGTTTCTGATTGACCACCTTTCCCAATGGGCCTTTTCACAGCTCAGACTTTGTACCATCTACTGAAGTTGAATAAAATATCTCAGATTTTACCATCAGATGGTGCTTAAGTAGCGCTATTCGGTGGTGCTCCTACCAAGTATTTAAGCAATCGATGCTACCATATGAGCGGCATTGACTCCAAAGTCCCCAGGTTGTTTGTACACGAGTGTCGCAGTTTAGATTTCACGTGATAAGTAGGATATATCAGTGACAAACCTTACAAATTTGAATGTTTACTGGCTTAGAAACCACGATGTTCACAAAAGACGAATTACAAAGATCGGTGAAATATTACGGGATGCACGTTTGGCCGCCTAGAAATGTCATCATCACCATCAGATGACAAACCTAACACAATCAATGAGGCTGCTTAAAACTCTTCGATAGCTGATGACCGGTTTTGCCTTTTCTCAGAACCAACCGGGCAGTCCCTGAGATTCCCTCAACAATATGTTCTTGTACCCAAATTGGATGGATTTCAACAAATACTCTCGTTTACTTACGAAATAAGTCTTGACATAAGACTCAAATACCTCCAGCTGAATTCATCTTTCCTGGTTATTCAACTACACTAGTTGGTACGATATTCGAGATACCGCAATATATTGTCTTAGCAGATCATCGTAAACGAGAGATTCAGTTGGATCCAGCTGAATTTCTAATCGAATCCAAATCAGTGTGAAACTGAGGGCAGTTGTCGGGTTAGCTTCCCACGTTGTCACGACCTTGAATTTCAGACTTGACTACCAACTGACTGTAAGCTCTCGACGAAGTCTTGGTACCTCGCCTGAAGATTATCACTATTTGTAACTTAACTTACAGGAGCGTTGGTTTGTCATAAGACAGCTCATGGCAAACGAAACATTCCGATCTCAAGGTCATGAAATTCTTTTGTCACTAAAAAAAGGACATTTCGTAAAGAACACGCGGCATTTTCTTTGTGGCTGTACCGATCGGAGACAATAGCTCACGAAGGGAACACAAGAACAGCAACTAATTCTACAAAGATTGCGCACAGAAGATATGCGAAAATGGCGGCTGAACTTATTACCAGGTGGTTACTAATTTGACCGAATCGGTTCGCCCGTTTAGGAATTCTGTATCGGTCGTTTGGAAGCTTAACAGGTCGCATGTTCTAATCAGTTTAGAAGAAGTAATCAGGCACAGATAAAAAGTCTGGCGCTGTTGGATTTCTCACTTCTGGGCGACTACTGTATGAGCTGATCTATTGCGAACGCATCGAAAGCACTTAACGCAGTTCCTGGCCTGGTTTTTGATCTGATATATGAAGAAATCCCAACAGTCTTGGTGCGGGAGAATTCAGCAACTAGCTACAGACCGGTTATCTGTAAAACGATTCTATGTGGCTTCGTTAGGTCGAACAGATGCATAAAGTAATACCAAGCCAAGTAATGGACAGGTGCTACAAATTCACATGCGCTAGGGTCGGACTTGAGGGGTAATCATAAGCGCATTTTCGATAACTTGAGAAGTCTACAAACTTTGCACTCACGACCTGCCTATCGTTTCGCTTCAACCAAAGTATGCGGTGAAACGGCTCCACAGCGTTGGTGTAGGATGGAATGGATAAACACAAGATCTTCTTTAATTAGGGTTTGAATTAACTTTGTCCGACAACGCCAAACCTAGTTTTAATCTCTCGACTGTTGTACGTCGAATCTGATTTCCATTAAACATTTAGCCGACAAGTGTTTACGTACTTCTTGAAGTAGATGGTGTTCCTCGCATGATGCAGATTGATTGTTATCCCCTTGAAGGCTTTTTTAAACTAAAGTGGTTCACTTTGGATACAATATGAGTCCTGTTTTCTCAAAGTGCTCCTTGTCAGTGGCTTCGTTAGGAGCTGATGCTTCCGGTTTAGCTTGTCAGTAAAGGAATTGATAATTGACTCGAAAGTAGTCTTGTATTATGCAAACTTATATGTTCTTCCGAGTTTCGGAATGACGCCTCAACGTCTTCGGTATCACAGAAACAAGCAATTTTAGTTCCTATTTAGAAGTCGTTTGACTTCCCCGCTCAGTTCCAACGAAGAAAGCCAGATTTTCACATGTCTAGCAGGTACTAGGGACTTTTCCATTGCACGTGTTTCGAACTGTGATATTCCGTGCCCACACAGTGTCGGGGATTTGAGTCGAGAAACTCGCCAGTAGGTTGAAGAAAGCCAGATTTTCACATGTCTAGCAGGTACTAGGGTCTTTTCCATTGCACGTGTTTCGAACTGTGATATACCGTGCCCACACAGTGTCGGTGATTTGAGTCGAGAAACTCGTCAGTAGTTTCCCACAATCCTGTGAGAAAAAGTTGTTTGACCGATCAGGTGACTTAGTGATAGTCCAGGTAGCTCTGACGAACGTGCTATCTGAAGGGTAAGCACTTTCTTCAAGCGTTCCAGCCTAAGTTGATAAATGTTCAGCTCGCTTGTGCAATCCCTTCGTGCATTCGAACTGAACATGCCGAACTTGTGGCACTGCTGTGCAAACCCAGCAATCTAGACCATCTGAATCACCCTTTCAGTCATCAGTGGTTATCACCACCCCCTATTGCACAGAACACAATCTTCGGCTCACTTGGGTATGTACATTAATCCTGAAGAGGTGATAGTCTTCCCAAGAACCTCAGAATACCTTGGGACCCTTGCTGAAAATGCTTGATGTTCAGATGGAGGCTGTTTTATTCACGCGTTACTTGTCGTAAGAACAAGTATGATTCTGGGCAAATCCCACTACGCAATACCATGCAGGGCTTGTGGTAACCTTGCTTTCGAGCAAGCAGAATCGTCCACAACAATATCTACAGGCTTTTCCCCCAAAGAACAATAATAATATTAGTAATAATATAGTGGGCTCGCTATACTTAAATAAATTCGCCTTAATTATCGTCTAGGTGAAATCGAGGTTATCCGCCCAGCTATCAATACCGGTCACGATCAAGGACAACGCTACCACAAACTTGGATCGTCGTTGGTTGAATTCGTGAGTACCACTCACCTCAGTGGTAGTCTTTGGTTGGATCGATAAGTGCTGTTATGAGAGTTCATATGCTGTCAGCGAGCAACATAGTCCTTTAGGATTATATGCGCAACAAATCAAAACTGATCATAGATTCGGTGAGCAGTTCCTTTGAGTGATAGCTAGTGGAAACTTTAATATTTTAATGTAGCGGAGAAAATCAATCAAAACGGATAGCCTCTACCGTCTATCCATACTCATTGTAGATGCCTGTCTGTTTGTTCATCGAGCTGGCTAATTCGGTTGCAAGCGTCTCGTAACCAATCGGGTTGACATCTCCAGTGTGATGTGCTGCATTAATTTGCAGCCGACGACAGAACAGCCTGTCCTTGTTGTACTATTATTTATACTAGGGTTCGGGCATTTAAAATACCGAATAAGAGGTTATTGTACCATAACTTACCCAAATCCATGGTCACTGAATCATCGTCACCCAGCAGCGTGACTAGACTGTAGCCCGTGTATAACTCTATTGTGTAGACTGGGCACTGCGGCGGTCGCGTGTCTTGTGAGTGTACGGTGAACAAATAGCCACCATCTCCCAACCCAATCGTACCATTTTGACCCGGCTGTCCACGATAGCCTTTCTCTCCCGGGTATCCCTTTGGTCCAGCATAACCTGGCTCACCACGCGGACCGATATCACCTGGCGGACCTCGGGGACCAAGACTAGGGTTGGGACGACCTTTCACACCCTTTTCACCCGGTTCACCTTGCTTGCCAGGTTGACCTTTAGAGAGGTGAATGCGAATTCGAACCGTGACAGACCCCAAAAATTTAAATAGACCATAGGTACATTTCGTGAACAAAATCAAAACTTTAATCAGTTGGAAAATGTTTCAGAAAGATGGAGCAGTCATTGTTTCAGAGAGGTTTGGTAAAGAATCAGAGGACTTATTGCTGAACAACGTTTCTCTTTGACACAAAAGCTTCGTAAGGTCAAGTGAGTAAGTAAGCAGGTTGATTGGGTTTTTAGGGCAGTCAGAGAACCAATCAGTAAGGTTTGTTATGACTACCCGACAGTGCTGGGTGTCAGTCTGACGTTCCTGTTTGCTGGTTAGTGGGGATGACCAACATTTAAGGTAGATTGGTTAGGGGAGAGTTGCCTTCATGTTGAACCCAGATTTCGCGACTTCGCTTTTATTGTCTAGGACACTTTAATGGATTATTCCTCGTGGGGTCGTTCACAGATTTTGTTAGACTGTGTGAATCGAGGGATGCCGGGACACTTGGTTTGGGGATGGGGATGGGGGTTGTCAACTGGATCTTACTCTGCTTGGATTTTGTACTTTTAGACCCACACCATTTTGCTGATAGCTGCACACCACCTCGTGTCATCTCGGCTGATTTGAACCCGCTCTCCACACGCTTGCCAGTTCTACATTCTGTTCTATTCACGGTGGGATGTTTGGCGATTTCCATCGTCTCGACTACCAGTCACTATGGTGTGAATCGTAAACCTCATCACTTGGCCTGACGAAGCTGTCCAAAACGAAACACTGCTCAGTAACAAATCCACCGACTGTTTACCAAACCTCTGAAAATTGAAACTTCTTGTTTTCCATCCAACTACTTACAATCATTGTCTAGCTGGACTGGGACAGAAATCTGTTATGAAACGATATCACATTGACCTCTTATTCATCACAACTTTTGAAATCACGGTTAAAGAAACCTGTGACGAGTGATTCTGGACGATTCCTCAAACTGGAGGATCCACGTAGCGAATCATAATAGTAGTCTGATTTAAGTGGCCTAATCTACTGCAATACTGGGATATAACCATAGTACAAATATCGGACAATTAAATGATGTTCACAGAGTTCGTGGGCTAACTAGATCTGAACTGTTACGGAAGAAAGCGTCCTAACGTTTGTGCCTACCTAAAAAATCTTTATATCAATCCCCCTAACGTTTATTATTCCAGACACTAGAGGATGCATGGCTTACACAATACGACCAGGCTGACTGAACGCCACGCTGAGCTTGAGTACCTGTCTGCTCCTTCAGATCTATTTGCACAACGAACAAGATGAACGTTGGTCACAACCACTTGAAGCAGCGAATGGTGCTCACCGGCCAAGTGGGGCTTTTTCAAAGATGTCAGTCAATCAGCGAAATGCACTCATTTGCAAACTAATTCGGTTTTGCGAGAGACTCACCTGAAATTCAGCTGAATCCCTCGTTTGTGATGTTTCCAGGTAACTGAATGTGCTTGCACTAGGCCGCCTCATGTTTTAGTCGCTACGATATTCGAGATATCGCGATACATAAATATTTGTGCAGTTTCGTTTCCAGTAGAACATAAGGTTGACGGAAACCTGGGGACTGCGCCGACCTGATGATCCCCAAGAAGGGCGAAACCGGTCGTGGGCTGTCGACGAATTTTCAGCAACCTTATGAGTAGTGTCAGTCAGTCATTCCGCACCTTAAGCCAGTGCAAGATGGAAATATTATGGAATCCGAAAGAGGAAATTCTATTCCCACCAAAATTGGTCTTCACTTTATTGTAATATTACCTGGTTATTGCTTGGCGAGTGAAACGAGGTTTCGTCAGTTTGGTAATTGTTCACCCTTCCAGATTCATGTTGTTAGTTTTTATCCCTATACGGCTCAGTGAGGTCGGTTTTATTCGTTATAAAACAACTCTCATACGCGATACTCGCTACCTACACTGAGCATGGAAGAAAATCCATGGAACCTTGAAAAGTTGGACAATCCTTAACAAAATCAATTCTTGAATTTGAATGCTGGCCCAGTCAAGGTTATATACTGCCCATGGGCTGTATTAGGAGCGAAGTTAGACTCGGTGCGACAAGACAGAAGTCGTCAGAATGAGAGTGCTATAAATACGGGTTCGTTCGTATCGGATAGTTGGTCGTATTTTGAATGTACGAACAACCGAATGCCCTGCTTCTCACGGTGATGGTGCACAGATAAGGCATTACTCTTGTGAAGGGCTCCTCGTATTGTAATTCGCACGGCAATCTCAGCATACTGTACCGCACAATCTGGTAAAAAATGCATGCAAGTGAGTTGAACATCCACACTGGGATAACGACTTTTAGAGCAAGCGCGACCGGCTGACCAGAGTAAATCATCGTGTGGTATTTTCACGAGGTTTTCTACGAGCCGATTCCAGTTGACTGTTTTCCGATCACAAGTACGCCATTAGTTTCCGTATTTTGGTATGAGTAATGAGGGTAACATTAAAATCTAGGTAAATTCGCCACAAGCAGTCTGTGAGGTCGTTGCGTTCGCAATGTCGGTGGACCAAGCAGAAGAATAAGCTGTCCCTTTCAAAAACGGAACAACTTCACATACCGGAGGGAATCAATCAGTAAATCACGCACATTTTTTTCACGCAAATGTTCGATACCTCAAAGAAGACAATGATATTCAATTCAGGATTCTTTACCCAACCCGAAATGCTAGACTTTTAACCTTAAATTACCACGAAACTAGTCTGTCCAGTGTAGCAGACTAGTTCCTCCCAGGACAGCGGAAAGTTTCCTAATGTGTCAATACTTTGAAAACAAGGTACCTGGGCATACTTCTCCCAAATATGTGTCAGGATGCTGGAAAGAGTTGTAGACCTGAGGCATACTGTGTCATTCAGAACACTTTGGTACCGAGAAATACAGTGATTACCATTCTGTGGTGTTGCTTTCTGTAATTCGACCGCATTTGCGAATCATTCTGGAATGAGGTGAGTTTCGAAAGTACACACTCATTCATTTCTAATAACACTTGTGAGCTCAGAACAGGATAAGCGAATCTTTCGTCTGATAAGCCGCCACTTGCCATGTGAACGTAGATGTCAACGGCAGTTCGGATGTGGCAACTTGTAGAATAGGTGGCTGTAGATTTCCAACCGACCAGGACTGAAGGATAACCGATGCTGTATCCTGCCCAAATGAGATTAAGTCACACACCTGATCAACCCTTCGTAGCTCATCAGTTTAGTCTTCACACTTCTGCTCGTGCCGAGTATCATACGTTGGTCGTACGACAAGGCATTTGTCGGGCAGAATACGAGAACACAATCCTGTATATCTGAATGTTAGTGGGAAGAAACAAGGCTCAAGCGCGATTGCAGCACACTTGGCCGAAACCTGTCATATCATAGATAAGGAGCAAGCCTTCACCATCATATACCGGGTACTTCTGAACCGATGACGACTGGTACGATCCAGACTACTATCGATCGCAGAGGCGATTGGAATCCGACTGCTGGATCCGCAACTTTGCATCCAGAAGAAACTTGTGCGACATCTGAACTTGAACTGGCCTACGAAACATCCGGTCCCACAAGTCTGTCTGACAATGACGTCACTTACTTGACTCCGTGACCCATTGACCTACCCCTCATCCGAGCCCCCTTCCTTTGATTTATATTTCTCTAAAGTGTATGTAGCCCCGATCTTAACCTTTTCCACGTGGTTTCTGCTACCATATAAATTTGTGATGTATTAGCCAAGAGGAACAATCGCAGAGAACAAGCTTTGTTCGCTACCTTCTTCGTTCTTATGATTTGCGGTAAGAATGAGACAGTTGTGAAGTGTCTCTACGCTTTTCGGCATGAGTTGACTCCACCTGGATGGTGAAATTTTCAGTCGAAAATTCCTGTGAACAGCTGGGTTTTCGCGGATACTTTGGGTTTAAAGTTTCAAAATTTTTCTTCAAAATGATGCGGATAAACCTGGTTATTCTGAAGGACACTTACCAGGAAGTCCTGGCACTCCTTTCTCTCCATATTCACCCGGTGGGCCTGGGTCTCCACGGATGCCTTTCAACGCACTGGTTAAACGCCCTGGCAAACCAGGAGCACCAGGGAACCCTCGCTCGCCCGAAAAACCTTAAGGATGAAATTTGGAAGAAGAAAGAATTTCGAAGTTATTTAGTTATAATGCCTTCTTTTGCCTAATGAACATCAAGACCAAAGCATCTACTCACCTTTCAATCCAGGACGCCCACTTGGTCCCATAATCCCCGGCTCACCAACGTCTCCCGGATGACCATCGATTCCGGGCAAACCATCGGCTCCAGGAAAACCAGCTGCTCCCTTGGGACCTCTGCGTCCTGGAAGGCCATCTCGACCAGAGGGGCCGACATCGCCTCGATCGCCTGGTATCCCCGGTCGGCCAGGAAAACCTGGTTCTCCTTTTGCTCCAGGAAATCCTAGTTGGCCCGGGATTCCTGTAACACCACGCTCACCAGGCGCACCTAAAACAAGTAATTTGTAAATCTCCTGTCAGAATCTGGACAGACACAACTAATCACTACCAAATTTTGGAAACTTTCCTTTATTGTCTTTCTCGGTGTGAAGGTAACCTTTTCCATAGCTTCTATCCAGACTAAGACATATATATGGCCGAATGAAATCGGTCAAAATATTTGAGAGATCTCGATCAACCTATATGTACTTTTATCGGCTTCCATGATTTTGGGCCAAAACTTTGCATTCGGGTTGAGTTTTAGCTTATTGGACGCGAAAGTACATCGTTATCCACGCATACCGTTTGTGTGAGTGTGCATAAGGGTCGAATAATCCAACTGTTATTGGTAGTCGAATCCTCAGAGTACACCAACCAACCGTGTTCCACAACTCTTGTGCCTCATCTCACTGGTGGACAAGTGGCCTGAAAAGGCTTGTTAGTCCCCATTGATTTTACCATAAGTGTTAAAATGAACCAGAGTAATCAACAGCACTATGACTCCTGTGTAGCAGAATCCCGGAATTAACTAACGAGCGACAAATCATCCGATCACTGTGCGAAATGTTACAGTAACTCTATCCATCGGTCGCAGGGTTATGGCAATTATCGCACAAGTTACACCGTTCACTGAACCTTGCTCACCTGGGTATCCTTCAGGACCGACCGGTCCAATGTCTCCTTTAGGACCAGGGAAAGCCAATCCAGGGGCACCAGGGAGTCCCTTCGGACCCGGCATACCAAGTGTACCTGAAAAAAAACGAATGGAGAGGTTGCTAAGTTCAGCGAAGAAAAATCCATTTGAGACATCTATCGTAGTTGGACCTTTGATTATTATTGTTTTCTAAGCAGGAAAGTCAGGGGGCTTATTGCCTGGAAGGTACGGAGTTTTTTAGTTCCAGGGAATAAAGTTTTTTTATTCACTAACTTATATTTCAACAAATATCAATATTATTCACTTTTCATGTCACAATCACAACCACTAAGGAGAGGGTCTATGGAAATTTTGATTCGCTGCGGTGACACAGTGATTGCACTTCAATCGATAAAAAACTGCAATTTTTCTGACTGTCACGTAGTCCTCAACGAGCTTTTCTTTTCTTGGATGACTCGTTCTTCTTATCGACCTTGGCGATGTCCTTGAAGGTCGAAGGGGAGTGTTGGGTGTAGTGTACTTCAGCTTGCTGGTTTGAATTTAACTCTCCTACGTATTATTGGCTAACGAGACCGAGTGTTAATCTTTCTGCATTCTTTCAGCCTTTTTTCCTGTCGGATAGATAATTCTGATAAGTAATTCCCCTGTTTCACATTTTGCCAGAAATAAAAAACACGATATATCGCACAGGGATAATACACTGACCGCGGATCTCGGACTTGAAAGCTTTCGGATAGTAGAACACCCGGGTTCTTGCACTCATCTTTTTTTGTTTAAAGCCTCCAGTACTAGCGGAAACAGTAATCTCTCTAAAGTGCCTTCACCAGTAAAGTAAGCTAAGTTTCTATAGAGTGTTGAGCAGCATTTTCTGTCTGATATGCAAGGCGAATCACCGTAGAAGTCAGGCAGGCCTTTCTTTTTGGCTGTTCTCCCTGAGAGTTTACCTCGATAGCTTTGAAGTGTCACTTCTGTCACCTTCTAGATGGCTAGAAAAGGGAACTTTCTCGTGGGTTATGCTACAGAAAATGGAGCTTAGAGCCCATGCTTTGAGGTAACGTAGCTAGAGCTTGGGTTTGGCTTACTTGTAACCAACAAATAGGCCACAAATCAATCGCCTCAGCTCACGTTTTAATTTTTATACTGTTTGTTATAAAGTCGCCTGTATAACCCTTCGGAACCACTTCGTCTGAACAAAAAGAGTGCATTGCATGCCAAGAAATATGGGAGACATTGGTAACCCACCTTTATCACCTTGAGGCCCAGGTGCTCCTGGCGGTCCAGGGGGGCCTGGTCTCCCTTTTAGACCACGGATACCAACTGGGCAGTAAGGAGTGGTCCCACGTTGTCCTTTCATCCCTCTTATTCCTTTCGGCCCTGTAGGTCCTGATGGTCCAGGAATACCTCGCGCTCCACCGGGTCCCACCGGTCCTGGCATGCCTGGGGTGCCAGGAAATCCAGGTTGTCCATCTCTTCCCTTTATTCCAGGATAGCCTGGGATTCCGGGCTGACCGGCAGATCCAACCTCACCAGGTGGTCCCACAGAACCTATAAATAATTCACATGGCATGTTGGTACACAGACTGTCAATCGGAAATCATGTTTACAAAAGTATGCGCAAATGGTTTTTCCCAATCTCCCAACCAGTTAACTTCTCCTAGAGTTGATTGTAGTATATTTTAAAGGGTAGCTGGTCAAGCGTCTCACCTGGAAATCCTTTATCACCTTGTTGTCCAATGGGCCCAGGATAGCCTGGAGGTCCTCTGTAACCAGGTGGACCGGAAGATCCTGGATGCAGAAGTGGAGATTGCCCAGGCTCTCCACGGGGTCCCATATCACCGCGCATTCCAATATCACCAGGCGGCCCCATCTGACCAGTTTGACCTCTGGGACCAGGTCGACCGTCCATCCCTTCAGCACCATTCCTACCGGGTAAACCTCTGTCACCCTGAATAAATGTAAACAGAAAACGATAAAAATGATAAAAGTCTAGTAAACACAACACACATGACTCATTCAGGTTGGCCATCTCGAGGAGCTGGTTGGATAAACATAAACACTTCGAAAACCCAGAAGATTAGATGAAGAGATTAGGGTTTTTCGTGCTTCAGATCCACCCATGGTTACTGTGCATATCAACAGAAATTACAAACTTCTGTAGGTAAGAATAGATCGTCAACTGCTTTATAATCAGTCTTAAGCGCCTTAGTCATCTGGGAAATCTTCGAAACACGAGACCTTTTGTCCTTCTTCGAGTGTTGTTGTGAGGACATGAGATATTGGTGGTGTAACTTTAAATCGCAATTGCATACCGATCATCTTGAGACAAAACACAGTTGTTAAGCTGACAACGTTAGCCGACCTAGATTGTTCGCGTCAGATCTTTGTACCTCTGGACCCCAAACCAGCGGGCTACAGCCAGGTGCATAACTACTGCCACCCTGTGAACTCACAATCGCTTGAAAGCAAAAGCAAGTCACTGGAGAGAGCAGGTAAACAAACCTTTCTATTCCTGGACACTAGTTCTTACTGTTCGCGTGGAATGTGACAAAATCATCAGATCTTATTTTCGGAGAACGACTGGAAACGACAGTTCAGGGTTGACAGAAGGGTTTTGTTTTAGATGAATCACAGTCTACTATACATGGGCAGCTATGCTCATAAATCAGAATCACTAGAGCGATGAATGCTACTCGGGAAGTTAGCACTCACTCCTAGGATCCATCAGATGGATGCAGGATTGCGCTACTCATGGCCGCACAGCCATACTCTGCGGATTCTAAGTGTGTTCAGGTGTCAAGTTTACATAGAGAAGATTCTCTGCGTTCGGGCAGTTATCAGTATATTCGCTAAGGATAAAATAACGATTTACTTACATGTTCTATAGAGAAAAAGTTTCCTGTATAAGTATTAGTCCAAACCATGAATGTGGAAAGCGTAGGAATCAGATTCGCCCATTCTTTGGTTTAGTACGTTTGTGTGTGTGTGTGTGTGTGTGTGTGTGTGTGTGTGTGTGTGTGAACTAGCACTCGAGAGTAAGATAGCATAACAACAAAGATGGACAAAAATACCTTCAGTCCGGGAAAACCAAACGATCCAGGTAGGCCTTTGGGACCAGGCTGTCCGAGCGAGCCTGGAAATCCATGTTCACCTCGTAAACCAGGTGGTCCAGGCATACCACGGCTACCAGGGCGCCCGGTGGAGGATGCACCGCTTTCTCCCGGTTTGCCAACTTTTCCGTCCATGCCTGCAATGCCCTTTTCACCTGGGCTCCCAGGCGGGCCGGGAATCCCCGGTTCTCCTCTTATACCTGGACGACTGATGACAGATCGGCCTGGTTCGCCTGGAATTCCAGAGGGTCCGTCTAACCCAGGCCTACCTGGATGTGAAAATAAAGTGCATTGTACGGATTGAGTTATTTGGTGGTAAAAGTACGGAATAAATAACATGTACGAGTTCAAACCCCAAAACGGTTAAAGATATACACTACTGATGAGCAGTACTGATAAAAGTGGTACTTGAGTCTAGTGCCTCCTCAGTTTTGTGTTTGAAACTACCACAACAGTTGCGCCAGGACAAAAGGAGGTCTGTTCAAACGAGAGTAATGTGAATGTGAATTTTACAAGCCCTGCAGTCACCTACAATAAATCGGTTTATCATTAAACAGCTTGCTTCTTTCAATGTGATAGGACAACAGATCACTGCTACAAGACGTTATCCAACATTTCACTGCGTAACGCGTTGCTGACACTGGAATCCGGCAAACTATCGTGTGTTTGCTTCACTATCGTACCTAGAGTTTGAACAACCTCAGCAAGAACATTCATATGGCTTTCTCATGAAGAAAACTACTCACGAGGTTGCTGAAAACTCTTCGACAGCCCACGACCGGTTTCGCCCTTCTTGGTGCTCATCAGGTAGGCGCAGTCCTCGAGTTTTCCTCGACCTTATGCTCTACTTGAACCCAAATTGGACTGTTTTCGAGAACTACATTCCTTTATGAAAATATACTACGATATCTCGAATACCGTGCCAACTGAAGCATGAGGCGACCTGTGTGCAGCACATTCGGTTGTAGAATATCGTAAACGAGAGATTCGGTTGAGTCTATCGTAAAAACCAAATTGATTTGCAAGCGTGAGTGTATTTCTCGAATTCATAAGGCTTATTTCTGAGCCAGGTCTGGTTTATCTACCAGCGCTTCTCAAAGAACGACTAACATAATTATTTGGAAAATGTGTGCAGAAGAACAATAAACTAAAATTGATGTGCCTGAATGGTGTGCACGAAAAACGGCATTTGCTATTGCACCTATTTCAATCTCAGAATTATAGAGAGTTCCGCATAACAAGTGAAGCACACAAAACGTCCGCCTTTTCGATCCTGTACTCTGTTTAGTTTGTACTGAATAGCTTAGTACAAGGATAAGATGTGCTCCAAAAGTCATGGTCGACGGGCACAGGGCTTGATTAACCGTGATCGGTTATTTTTGGCTGCCCTCCGAACACGTGACCATTCTGGTGGTGGCGCCATGGCAGATCACGTCTATAGTGATAAGGAACGATTTGCGTTTTGGTGGGTGTTGAATCGGGCAAGTATATTATGTACAGACCCACGAGGCCTAAAAAGCCCTCTTGGAGGAAAACTGTTGACAGTAAGTCGATCTTCTGGTGGCTCGCTTTTGTTGGCTGTTGATCAAGCGACAGTTGATATGCTAACTAGTCTTGAGTTGCGAAATTTCGTCACCACCCTGACCGCGCACGGACAATATGTTCTTGAATGGTTACAAGCCAGCTGCGAAGGTCGGAGAACAGATCAACTGCAGCCTGGTCAGCAAATAATACAGAAGAAAACTGCGTTGCCAGGTGACAAACATGGTTGGCTATCTTCGAGAAATACATTCATTTGCGAATCAATTTGGTTTTCACGAGAGACTCAACTGAATCTCACGTTTATGATATTCTACGACTGAATGTGCTCCACACAGGCCGCCTCATGATTCAGTTGGTACGATATTCGAGATATGGTAGTATATTTTCATAAAGGAAACTACTCATAAGGTTGCTGGGCTGTCGAAGAGTTTTCAGCAACCTTGTGGGTAGTTTCCTTTATGTTTGGCTATTATTCACACACCATTAAACTCGACTCGTTAACTTGTAGGTGAATGAGTTCACGCTGATGATACGCTGATGTAGTGTTTCAAGTTCAAGGCAGACAGCTCAGTGGATATTTCTCCCTCGTTAACCTGATAAGCTCTATCCCAGAAATGGTTTTAAGATGCAACTACAGCAGGATGTCTTGCCCCGACTGAGCAACAGCCCGAACGAACGTCCTTGTTGAAAATTTCGAGTTCGTTTACAGCTTAAAATGAACTTACAAGACTTTGCCACAATTTCATTTTGACTATATGAGCGAAGAGTCCCGTTTATTCCTAGGTGAAAGTAAATCATATTGATGGCAGTAGGATCTCTAGTTATAAGAGATTTAAAGTAGTGCGAGAGGCTTCCTAAACATGGGACAGTGGTATGCACCTTTGAGACATCGGATACCAGGTCTATAATGCACTTGCTTGGCAGAATAAAAATCGGTAGGTTACAGACTGAATATAGAAACCTGCATGTGAAGAACTTAGAGTGTTTCGTTTGATTTCTACGTCACAGGCACTAGAGATGCGGACACAACATTGTAAATGAGTTGAATTGAGATAAACCGATCACAAAGTCATCAGTGGCTAATGCATAAACTTCAAACGTCGTTGTACAGCTTCTGACGGCCGTTACCTGGTAACGTCAACGAAGTATCTCCGGACCCAGTATGACGGTCACTTTGTGCCTGATGTGCGAGTCTTGACTATGTTAGCGCACACTGCGCCTGGAAGAGCATTTACCACTGTTTGTCCTTTCTTTGGTTGTTGGTCCTTAGACGCGTGTTCCCATACCAAAATCTTTACATACTTTGGGATTCACCTCATCAGACTGGCACTGCCCTTGGCATGATCTCGAATGAGACGTTTCTCTCTTTTCTCCCATATTCTCCTGTTACTCTTTCGCATTCATCGCTTGCACTCACTTTTTATGTTTGTGACCATGCTCTTCAAAAATAAATGATAATTGTTGACTCTCCATAAAGTACAAATAAGACTAACCTGATTTTGCCCGACAACTCGTGCGTAGGTGCGAATGCGCCAGTCAAAAACGTCATGGAAGAGGTTACTGTGCTTTACAAAAGTTGTATAGCTTTGTTTCTTGATAAATTCAACGAATAGCGTAATTTGCCTAGGAAAGGAATCGTTCAACCATAGGATACAATAGAACTAACCAATGGGTTGATAATTAGGAGAAGTAATGAGTAAACGTACGGATTATTATTTCCAAGAATAAACAGTACATACCTGGCCACCCTGGCTGCCCCGGTGGACCGATTGGTCCCGGGATTCCTTTGATACCTGCCGGTCCGGGCCTACCTGGTTCACCTTTGATTCCTATCCTCCCTATAGACCCAGGATATCCATCTTCACCGCGGTCGCCCTTGAGACCTGGAGCAAAGGCTTGTCCATCAACACCGGGTTCACCACGATCGCCTGGGAGTCCTTCTTCACCAGTTGGTCCCGGATAGCCAGGGAGACCTTTGGGCCCAATATCCCCCGGAACACCAGGTCGATAACATTCACCCGGCCGACCTGGTTCACCTTTTAGTCCCCATGTCCCTAATAATGGGGTAAACATGAGAATTTGTCACAAGTACGGGGATAAGAAAATTGAATTTTTCTGCCTAGTGAAAGTTTTTCCACGTTTCTGTGACCGATATTTTCGGAGACTCAGAGGACACAAACAACAGTGTGACCAGTAGTGATGTAATTGGCAAAAAAATGATATCGAAAATTCCTAAACGTGCAAAAAGTTGAAGTGAAGACATACGAGAATGAACAGGGCGAATTTGAAATTATTACCGTCAATTATTCCGCTCATAGGTTATCGGTAGCTTATTTTTGGTTCCAGAAAGACTTGGTAATACAAGCAAGTTTGATCGGTCTTGATGGTGCTTACTTTGTATAGGAATAACGTAGTTTTCTCAGTGTTACTGACGAAGACAAAATAAACTAAGTCAACCACTATTATGTCAAACTGTTTACAGTTACCCCTTTGTGAAGGAACCATGCAAGTGAGCCGGTCTTTCTTCTCTGAGTGTGATTTTCTCTTTGAAGGAAAAAACATGCTTTCAACTGTTGGCAGTGCGTTTCTAATGGTTTATTTTGCATCCAGAAGTGACCGAGGGCAAAAGAGGCGTCCATGTGAAACGTACACTACATCAGTCACAGACTGAGGTTGACAACACCATGATGAAATCGTGCATACGGATAGAACTCACATGGTGAAAAACACGCTAACAATGGAACATCGAGCACTTTGGGGAGTATGGAACATTTAGTATTAACACAGAGCAGTGTAAACGATTTTTAGCCGAGCGAAAATACCTCAAAGGACAACCGATCAATAGTTCAAGTGATAAGTGATTAGATAAAACTTGTCACCCACCTGGAAGACCTTTCTGTCCTTTCCTTCCCGGTTCACCAGGTAAAACTGCAAAACTTGGCTGACCCCGCCCTCCTTTGACGCCCTTTGGACCTTGAAATCCTTTTGGGCCCATTGTACCATTCATCCCAGGTAGTCCTAAATGCATAAAATAAAACAACGAAGTGTACGAGTCGATATATATATATATATAACTCTTTCTAGCGTAACGAATGGCCCGGTGATTCAATCTCAACTGAATGACCCAGTAATAAGCAATTCTCAAAGGCTCCTGTAATGGAGTGAAGTACAAAGCAATCTATACTGAACATTTTAAACAGGGTTACGCTGAGTTCCACTGGAACCTTAATCCTTCACTACCTATTTCAGTCTTCCAGGAGAAAGCCCTGGAAAGCAACTTGGTTTTTAGCGAATATACACTCATTTGCAAACTATATAGGTTTTTCGAGAGACTCACCTGGAACCCAGCTAAATCTCCCGCTTGTCTCGTTTGTGATGTTCTCAGGCAACAGATTTTCAGCAAGATTATGCGTAGTGCAATACAAATAGATACATGTATCGCGAATTCTCGAATATCGTAGCGACTGAAACATGAGGTGGCATGGTGCAGCACATTCAGCTGCCCGAGAACATCACAAACGAGAGATTCAGCTGGGTTCCAAGTGGGTCTTTCGCAAAACCAAATTAGTTTGCAACTGAGTGCATATTAGCTAATTCCCTGCAATTTGGTTTCAAGTAGAACATAAGGTTGACGGAAACCCGAGGAATGAGCCTACTTGATGAGCCCCAAGGAGGGTGAAACCGGTCGTGGGCTGTCGCCGGATTTTCAGCGACCATATGTGTAGTGCATTACAACTTGTTTTTTTCCCGTGATTTATTCATGTTCGTTGCATCAACAATTTTCAGAAGGAAAAAATGCAACAAGCATTCAAACAAACGGGTCGTGAGTTTGACAAAATCAGCAGACAGTGCTCTTTAATCAGACTGTGTACTCTGTGCTCTGAGTTTAGCAGCTCTGTTCGAAAAATCTATCACAAAGTTTAATAGTGTTCTCACTAGACTCCTCATCTGCAACATACTGATGGCATCACATTGAATCACAGCAAAACGGTAGAAAAAAAGCTACCGGACTGAGTAAAGAAGATGAACGCGCCACGCTTATTGTAGAAAAACTCCTCACATCCTTCTTGACTCTTGTCCAAGGCGAAACAGATGTGCAATTCAGGTATAGCCGAAAAACTGTCCATAAATTTAACCTATCTGTGTAACTTCGATACAGGAAATAGATTCCACTGACCTGCCCTTCCCGGAAATCCTTTTATTCCAAGGATGCCGGTGATGCCTGGTATGCCCATCGATCCCGGTAGACCGCGCGTTCTCCGCGGAATAGTTGAGCCATTAGACCAGGCTCTCCGATATCACCGGGCAGCCCTGAAGTTGGGAAATGTAAGAAAGTGTTGAATCAACCCATAAGGGGTCCCGTTTTTTAGATGTGGACGTGAGGTCGGGGTAGAATTATTATACGAAAGTGCAGCGCGTACCTTTCTGTCCAATATATCCACTCTCTCCAGGCCTGCCTATGTCACCAGGAGGTCCTGGAGGCCCAGGCATGCCTACTGAACCTGGATAACCCGGTGGTCCTGCGGATCCAGGGTATCCTGGGGAGCCTTTCATCCCAGGCATGCCGGCAGTTCCGTTCTCTCCATCTGTTCCACGCAGTCCAGGAAAACCACTTCCACCTGAATAGATGGCAAATAACAATAAGTAAATAGTGAAGGTATAATAGTGTCATAAATATGAAAATATAATCTGACTACTGAACCAGTTGTAAGTTGTAAGGACGAAGGTTTAGGTAAACTACTGAAAACAGGAGTTGAGTCTATCTAGATGGAAAACGGTGAGTTAGTCTATATCCCCACCCATTTGGCAGAGTTAGACATTTGGCCAGTCAAAATATCGGTTTGGATTATTAAACCAACGGTATTTGTACTTGCGAATGAGATTGAAAAAACCGTTTAGATTGCTTAGAAAGACCTCCGTGGCCAATACAATCCACAAATTGTGGCGAATGAAATCAATGAGACATAAACAATGGTGCCCAACGCCCTCTTCCCAGCTAATGAAGTCCTGTCCACCTCTTTGCATTAGCGCTATAGGTGGTCCGCTGTATTCCACAAGCCAAGTTGTCTTTGTGAGGCGGCATTGTTCATGAATTTCGAGCTGATGCGCGAAGAGAAGGTCAATGACTGATATCCGTACGCTTAGAAGTTGCAAGTGAGTTCCCTAATTGTTCTCGAATCGGTTGTTAGATCTCCAGTGGACGAATGATTTGGAGATTTTATATCCTCATTAGTCAGCACTTATTCTTTTAAATATTATCACTCACGTTTCGGGTTTGATAAATGAATGATGGGGCAAAAAGTGAGGGAACCAGAGGCGAAAATGAAACTATACCTCAGGATTGTACAAAGTTATTTCACGCACAACCAAATAGGAGAATTTGACTGTTGTTGCCTAGAAAAAATCAGAACTGCAGTCCCAGTTTACAGTTTCTGTATTTCAAATATTTCTGAAAGTTTGGGAAATATCTACTTATTTGTAAGGAATTAATGCTGTTTGGAAGCCTTACAAAGTATTTAAAAATCCGGGGCTTGTATAGGAACATATCATATCAGTAGGCACACCTATGACTGTGAAAAACCCAAGTCATTGATTCATTAGGATTTTGCTTACCTTTTATTCCCATTTCTCCTCTGCTTCCCGGCTCACCGGCAGGGCCAGGATCACCACGAAAACCAGGTTCGCCTTGAATTTGGCTTTGCTTACCTTTTATTCCCATTTCTCCTCTGCTCCCCGGTTCACCGGCAGGGCCAGGATCACCACGAAAACCAGGTTCGCCTTGATAACCTGAAGTGGGTTTTGATCGTAGTAGTAATCACAGTAATAATCGGTGAATGCATGAAAACCTGATTAAAATCCGCTCATCACGTGAAATTATGAATAGAACTCACCCTTCGTGACTTGTGGTCTCACCCGATCACAGTAACCCTTTGCTCCGGGTAGACCTTGTCGACCTTTGACCCCGGGATACCCTGGGGTACCAGGCTCACCAGGCATGCCGTCCACCGAGCGACCGTCTACGCCAGGGTCACCACGAAATCCGGGGGACCCATCCTCGCCAGGTGCACCCACTGGACCATGTGGTCCTGGAAAGCCCTGAAAGTTGGGAAAGATGTTGTCAAATTACGGGTAGCATTTTTCGACTGTATTTCATTCCACCTAAAGCTCATTGGCTTTGAGCAATATCTGCTGTACTACTAGTTGAAGGATTTCCTATTTTTGCCTGCAAAGGTGCACTGCACAAAGGACCCCTGATTTAGTTTGTTTGCAAAGGCACACAAGACAACCTAAAGACCTTGGGGTTTTGCGGGGTAGGTATTCTGTTCATAGTCACACCACTCTCGTTTGAGCGGCCGTGTTCCTGTTCTGGCGTAATTATTCCGGTGAGTCCACACCAAAGGGAAGCGCTGGACTCGAGTTTCACTCTTATTAGAGCTTACCAGCTATGCATATCCAATGACCGTGGCGGGATCTGAACCCCGGACATCTGACATGCGAGGCGAGCGTGTGACCACTACTCCACCAACGCACGTTGGACGTATCTGAATTTTCACGTCTAAACAGGCGAACGTCTCCACACATGAGCGATGTGATTGATGTGCCCGACTCATCGAGCGACGACCCAGTAACTGTCCTGGTTGTGACGATCGATTGACCCGCCCGTGAGGACTTCCCAGTCAGGTAGCGTGGCACACGCTTGAAACCCTCTGGGTAGCTTTTTGGTAGCAAATGTGAAGTTTTTTGGGATAGGTATTTTGTCCATATGCACTGCTGATGAGCTCTAATAAGAGCGAAACTCGAGTCCAGCGCTTCCCTTTGGTGTGGATTCACCGGAATAATTACGCGAGAACAGGAACACGATCGTCCAAACGGAGTGGTGTGACTATGAACAAAAAACCTAAAGGAAGACAGACAAATCTTCCTCACTCTTACCTATTACGATGAAAGGACCTTCTCTTTTAGAAATACCAATACCGGAAACGATATTTTTTCTCCGTGTCAATGTGGACAAAGCAATTCCCACTTTACCCGAAAAAGTGGTCTCCTGAGCCATCACCACAGTGGGTTTAGGTGAACTGGTAAATCACCGACACATAACCTTCTGTCCTAGACTCGTCTGATGGAATAAAACTGATGTGTTTCGGTGTTCCCGAAAACTTCGGTCGAGTACTGTGTGACGGCGTGATTCGAAAGCTCTCTATGTGCAGACTTGTGGAACTGGTATGCAACACCAGAAAAACCTCTCGATTCAGGTGAACCTCAACTGTTCTCCTTGTCGGATCGTGTTTTATCAAACTGCTTTCCTCGCTCCCGAGCCTTGGTGTCAAAAAAGACTCGCCGACAAAGGATGCAACAACTTCATTGCGAACAAGCAAGTGGAAAGTTACAAGGGACCTCGCGGTATTTAGAGGGCACTTTGGACATCGATCCAGACTATCTGACCTGCTTTTGGTGTACACGCACCATCATCGGCCGTGTTTCTGTGAAGTGCCTGGACACTTATAATCGTCGGTCGTGCTTCTGTGGCCTAACTGAACACTCCTCATGGTCAACCGCGCTACTGTGGCATACCCCACCATCATAAGCCGTGCTTCTGTGAAGTGCCTGGACACTCATAATCGTCGGTCATGCTTCTGTAGCCTGAGTGAACACTCATCATGGTCAACCGCGCTACTGTGGCATACCTGAGCACCCACCGGCTGGTGCTGAATTGATTGACTGCTTAAACGTTGTCGGAAGCCGTTTTTTGGACCTGGACTCTTGAAGGCCCTTCTACTGGTGAACTTTAAATGTCCAAGTAGGTTTCGGATATTCTGGGACTATTTTCACGAATCTCGTCTTCCTGACAGATCCGTAGGATCAATACTAGTGCCCCTTCACACTGCTCTTCGTTATAAACAGCGATTTTTTCGCTGTTTCTGGTTGCGTCCATACCTTTGCAGAAGAGACAAACCACCACAAGTCTAACACATTTGTTCCCTGAGGTCTGCCGCATGCGCGTCATTGGTCGACAAGGTGTCTCTGAGTGTACATCCTTCCTTCTCTTTTAAGCCACACTTGAGCGTAACATTCATCACACTTGTTTCAAATAGACAAACACACTTACCCTCCGACCGGGTGGACCAGGGTCACCGATGTATCCAAACGAACCTGGAATACCTCGATCGCCCGATTCACCCTTCTCTCCTGGTCGACCGTCTTCACCACGTTCACCAGGTATAATTTTCTCCTGAACGATACGCACTAAGCCTTTTTCACCTCTATCGCCTTTCTCTCCAAACGATCCATCAAACCCGGGTTTACCCTGCAGAAGGGAGATACAAGGATAAAGCCAAATGTAAGTTTTATACATTGGAGACCTTTTTGATTGAAGCGCCTTTGTAAAATTGTGTACATTGTATTCTATTGTTTGATGTCGGTCGGCCATATTATACTGCTGTTTCACGTCATCCTGACAGTGTCAAACGTGAAGGAACAAGTGCCCCGAATCAGCCTTAAGCTGAAGAAATCTGTCTTTATGATTTTGACTTCTTTCTTTTTGTATACGACCAAGTAATTAGGCAGATTTTGCCAAATAGATGTCCAATTTACGGAGGCATCTGACCGTTTCTATTTGGGACCAGTGCAAACGAAACCAAAGTGTACGCGCAAATGCCCGATTCGTTCATCGGGCGTCTCTGAAATGCCGTAGCCATACTGGGTCGCTCAGTTCCTACCTCCCTATTTCCATTCTAGCAACATTCTGAGTGACTCTTACGAAGGCTAATAAGGGGACCAGCGGGTCTTATGCAGGACTGCAGGACTGTAGAAATAATCAATATCGATCAGATTTCGGTCCCTGAGTTTGTTTAACAAGATTTGGTGTTTGAAGGATGAAGGAGGAAGGATGTTTGAAGGTGGCTTGTCAAGAACCAAGACACTCAGTAGATTGTCTCCCACTCATATCGTTGACACTGAACTACGCTTACAATGCGAAAACTTTCCTTTGAAAGCTCACCAGAAAGCTTGTTTAGCAAGCCTATCCGATGAATGTAACTCAGTGTCGCGGAATAACTACACCAAGTGAGAACTGTAAATACTTGTGTCCAACTACTCCATACTCAATAACTTCGCAGGTGGAAGTCCTCCACCGCGATCTCGATTTTAGCGTCAGGGAGTCAGCATATTTGTTAATGTGACCGTAAATTCCGTTGCAACTAAGTTTATCGATTTATTTAGTTACATCCTTTCCTCCGTTGTAGGTGTTCAGAGCACAAGAAAGTCGGAAAATGCTACTTACAAGAGTTTCTGTTGGTTTACATAATACTATGGTACAACACCGGGCGTTTCGAACATTTGTCTACGACTAAATCGCGAGTGGCGAATGCAGCAATAAATGGAATAGACGGTTAAAAATTTACTCAAAAACAGGTGAGGCGGTAAGGCATGCGGTAAAAAAGGGATTGTTCAAATCACTCAACCGGAGTTAACTGAGAATTACAGCTGGTTGCTGTAATCGAATGGTGTTTGCGAGTACGTTTGGTCTAATGACCTTGGGGCGGTTTGATGGATGACTCAGCCGGGTCGATACGGTGGTCTGCAGGGAAGAGGTGAGCAGCAATCCCACACGTCATGTGATTGGATAGGCTGATTCCAATGTGAGAAGCATGTGCAGAGCAATTATTTGGGATAGCTGTCGAATCCTCCCACCGGCGTTTACACGGTTTCGTTAGTCTCGTTGTGGCAAGTCGCTTCTCATTTGAGCAGCTTCATGGTTGACGGACTACAGCTTACATTCTTGACAAGGGTGGCGATGGGAACTTCACCTGAAGAACGGCTTCAACGTCGAATCGCCATTTGAGCAGCTTCATGGTTGACGGACTACAGCTTACATTCTTGACACGATGGGAACCCTGAAGAACGGCTTCAACGTCGAATCGCCATGTCATTTGTAGATAAATGAGCAACTAAAGACTCAGGCTAGCAGTGGCGCGCGTGAACACGTGGCATTTTCAATAGCTATCCGAGAGAAATTTACGAACTCTGAGGTTGGTTGGCCGGCCGGTTGACAGGCAACTGTGTTTGAGCTGATCAGTGTTGTTCGACACCCATCATACACATTTTCCATTACCAAGTTACCAAAAGCACTGAATTCAAGGTCGCTTAGTTCGACGAACAAACTTTACACCACATTTTCTGGAAGCTCATTTTATATAAGGAGATGCCCTGCTGCATAGCGTAACTGTGTCACTGCTACAATGGAAGACAGCCAGTGAATTTCGGGATACCGATAACCGCGGAAACAAAAATGATCTGCTGTGTCCGGAGGCTGGCCAGGTCACGATTTGGTTAAAGTTACAACCAGTTTAACTGCTCACAAAAATTGGCACTTCCTTACTGCATTCAGTAACAGATATTCGATGGTTCATTACAGCTGAATGATACCTCTTACTGATAAACGTTGCCCCCAGTGGCAAGGTATCCTCCAGAAGAACAACCGGTCGGATATCTGTCCTAGTTGAACTTTCCGCGCAAACGGAAGGTGACTGCAAAGACTGAGTACTCTTCCCCATATTCGTCATATCAAGTCAGGCTAGTTAAAGTGAACAATAGCTTGATATATGCATCGGTTTAAACTTCCGTAACCCGGATTGATGCGCCAAAAATTCTAAACAACGAATGTATTTTTCTACGAAAAGATTGAAGCAGATCAGCTGTTAAAAGGAAAAACCTAATGGGAAAACTTGCTTTATACTGACCTTTCTGCCGGGCATACCGGGCATGCCATCGCGACCGGGGTCTCCAGGCCATCCAATGTCACCATCCCCTCCAGCAAGTCCGGGGGATCCATAAAACCCTGGGTCTCCTTGAATTCCGGGTTCACCACGTCTACCAGGTTCACCATCGGGACAGGCCAGACACGTCAGGTTACTCCGTCCTGCCGCGAAAAATCATGAAGGCGCAACACATTATTGAAGCCCATCGAACAGAAGAATTGAACCTAGAGTCTGTTGATATTTCATGAATTTCACGAATTACTTCCGTTAAAGATGACCAACCGTTTCGCTGTGCAATGTGAACGCAGTGACCGCATCGTGTTTCCACCCCTGGTTTCTTTATTTCAGAGAGAAAATTTCTGAAACATTTCAACTTATTTTCCAGCAGATGACACGCGACCTCTTCAAAGCTTCCGATCTCTGACTAATGAATGACCCTCAGTTATCAGGAAGTCGTTTTAGACTTCATGGATAACTCTGATTCAGTCGATACCTCTCGAAACCGAAATTTTCACTGGAATAATGCATCCAGGAAATAGGTGATGAAATGCGGTGAATATCACACAAATATCTCTTACCAGATTCAACCCCAGACATGTAGTCACGTTATAACTTATCTGGAGAACTGCCATTTGATTAAACGTAGAGCGTTCGCGATTGATTCACAATGCTCTGCTATCAGACAGATTTAGTGGTCGATCTATACGTAAGATCAACGATGTTCAACCGGTTATAAAGATGCATAAAGGCAAGCGGAATGTCCGAGTATACTACTACTACTACTAATAGTAATATAAAAAACAGTGCTATGTAATTAAAAAAACACTCAAGAATGTCTCATTTTGCCTCACTACTGAATCTGACCGCCTAAAACTGTGCAGCAATGTTGGACGGTCTGTTCAGGTGTCGTCTGTCCAGGCCAATCTTGCAGCGATCATTGTGAACATTGATGGTGGCAGTGGCGTTGGCCTGTTGGACAGTGAGAAGATCCTTCTGTTCAGTGTATCTTAGAACGTACACAAATTCAACAGAGATGCCCACCTTTTGGACCAGGAAGTCCAGGTAATCCAGGAATTCCAGGTCTACCATCCGACCCTGGGTCACCTGGTAATCCCCTTTCGCCGGCTGGACCACGTATTCCAGTTCCTCGGAAACCCTTCTCACCAGGCTCACCCATATTACCCTTGGCTCCCTTGCGCCCAAATGAACCGGGAGGACCTGGGTGTCCTGGAGGTCCGGGCAGAACTTGATCAGGAGTGTCTCCAGGTGGACCTCGCGGTCCAGGTTTTCCTTCAGGACCAGGCCCTCCAACTGGACCTGGAGATCCTGGGAGACCTGTCAGTGGACGAAAAAAGCATGTATTGAGTGAATCCCACCAACTTAGGCAAATCATGCGTCACACCAGTAGCTGACTTGTTGCAGTTTCATTATTAATGATCGGAAAGCAGAACAATAAGGACTATTGTTATACCATTTGTTCAACTCTATTCTCGGAGGTTCTACCCCACCAAGTTATTTTCTTTGAGATACACCGTTCATTCCGACTACCAACATGTGGTAGTATAAAAACTATAGGTGGATAATTTATTGACCCATCCTGCGTCAGATCGAATTTGCCTTTTGAGAAGAGTATTCCATCAAGATCACATCTCGGTTTCGCCAGGCACAACAAACGTTCGACTGCTATCAATAAAGCTGTGTTAAACCTTAACTACTGTTGGATGAACAGTAGTTATAGTAGTAGTAATTATCAGTGGTTCTGTCAGCGTTGCCACCACTCCAAAGCTAACTGCGGTTCTGATCCCGCTCAAATGATGTTTCCATTTTTTCACCGATATTTCAGGAAGTTGCCTTAAGACCGATGGCGGAGCTATCTCGGGATTCTGATTTGCAAGCATAAATTTGATCGCGGAGCGGAAGTGAGTCTGGTCCCATGGAAGTTGGACTTTATCAATCGAATATTTTATACTAACTTGGGCTCATTCGCTAGGATCTTCACATACGGACTGCGATTCATGCATAGGTTGGACACTGTGGTTAATATCGGAATACAGTTATAAGCTTTCCAATACTGAAAAAAAGTCAGTTCCAGTGACATCGATTTTACCTGTAAGCTGTTGTGACCCGGTGGATGGCTAAAATGTATGGTATACTTCGTTTTATTGACTGTTACTAATCATAGCATTTATCCTTGTCCAATCAGGAAAGTCAATCATACAGCAGGCTAGGAGTGCGGCTTCATATCATTCCTTTAGGTTATACAGGACTACTGATAGTGACTCTTCAGTAGTGAATGCCAGACACCCAGTTGGGAATGCTATCAGAAATAATTCAACTGCCATGCAGCTGAATATTTAATTCAGTCGGTTCTCGAGATAGAGGGCTTTTGTGATCCTTCAGGCTGGGATGTGCAAACGATTGTCGATATTTTGGTGGGTAAGCTCGAGAATCTTCCTTAAACCATGAGGATCTAGGATTATTCCATTTCCTAACCTACACGGTATAAATTCATGGACCGTTGGCAACTCTCAGTGGAAGTTATACATCGCCGCCTCACCAGTGAAATCTACATGGCACTGAATACGAGTTCAGGCATTCAATAATGCGAATTGTCTTGTAAGGTTGGAAAGAACAGTCCTCTTTCTGTTATCCGAAAAGGGGGCTGAATGCTTGCGGTGGAAAATTCATTTGGAGATTTCCAAACGGTTTGGCAGATTGGTGGTTAACTAGTGGCGATTGCGAGTAATTCCGGTAACGAAAACGAAGAAATCGGGGAAGAAAGTTGTCCTCCTATCAAGAGCATTCAGCTCTTCGAGCAGGCATTGTAACACGAACTGTGCGTCTAACCTAATAAACAAACGGTGCAACCAATCAATATACCTATTTCTCCTTTTGGGCCAGGCAAGCCAGGCTGTCCTTCCGTGCAGTAACGACCAGGCAAACCGGGCTGACCGACTGGACCGGGAAATCCTTTTTCTCCCGCAATTCCGATAGGTCCCATTGGACCGGGAAATCCAGGTGCGCCTATAGAACCCGGGAAACCTTTTTCTCCTTGTCTTCCTTTTGGCCCAGCACAGAAACGTTTGCCCTGTGTGTGGGGATGTGGGAATAGCGGTTACAGCGTGGTTGATTAGAAGGTATCAGGCAAAACAGATGCAATTGGAATACATATACCTCACAGTGAATCAGCCGGCAAATGTCTAAGAGCATGGGCGCATCGATTGGTCTAATCGCCGTTGATCTGTTCACTGAACTTGACAACTGGCTTGCAAACCTTGAGATGACGCCATCAGTTTGCAGTTAAGTGCGCACTGATAACATCTGCTCGACTGAAGGATAAGCGCTCACAGGCTGATTGCCAAGCGTCGTGAACAGATCGCGGACCACCTGATCAACCCTCAGTTATTGGTAGTCTAGGCCTACCACTAGAAAAACTCATCTTGGAGATGGAGTGTAAAGAGAGCTTCTCCTGGCTTCAAGTTTGTGATTCTGAAGATGAATTGGCCCCTAATCAGAGGACTTTCATCCGTAGTAAAGCACTTGCACCCTAATGCGTGGAACTCGTAGGATGGACAGCACCGAAAATGATAGGTAACACTAGTGGTTCAATCAGCTGATGGATTCTTCTAAAGCTTCCAATATGTATGATTTACTGACTAGCTGTATCTGATCGCTGAACCGACGAAGTTGTGTAAACAGTAATCACGTGAACCGACAACGAGTGGATCAACAACAGCATAAAAAGTGAATGCGGGCGATGAATGTGGAAGAGTGAGAGGATAAAATTAAAATTAAAAGAGAAAAGCGTCTCTTTCGAAGTCATGCTAGCAATAGTTCCAGTCAGACATGATAAATCCTGATGTATGTAAGAATATTTAGTATGGAATCACGCGTGTAAAGACCAACAACCGAGGAAAGGACAGACAATGCCGCTCACCGAGCCCGTACATTGATTCGCACCATCTCCTAGTTTGGTTTCTAGGGTAGACTCTTATAGCATACAGTCTCCATGTACACTAGCTGTCACCCCTTTGAAACAGAAAGGGTTCAGCGACACCACATTATATGACTATACCAAGAACGCGCCAAGTTGTTGTCACGCCATTTAACTTTTAAGTTCTGCAGAACCTCTGCGTTGGCACGGACCTTGACCACTGGTCGAGCTCATACTGAAAATATGGAACTGATTGTTCCGTTTCCTGCCAGATATGTTGCGTGAAATGGTTGAATTCGAATAAAAGACTCCATCGAAGACTTTTATTGGACGAACGAAGTTGGCTGATACGCAGTCTTACCAAACTAGTTGATGCTGCGCTGAAACTTGGGAAGAAGTAAGTGACATCCTGGCAAGAATATCAGCAGCAGTAAATAAACCTAAAGTAGGTGCTCACAGTGTGTATACAATGTTTGATGCCAGGAATTAGTCCATTGGATACAATTTATTGGAATGATCGACATTCCCTCGTTTGAACGAATCACCAATCAACGTTACCACCGTCTAACTTTCGGACACAATCCTTCTGGAGCGTTTCCGTCGGGAAATCCCTACTTGGGACTTTGGGTAGCTGAGGTATCAGCGTTCTCTCGAACAACAGGAATCTGACAAACAGTAGAATGGGCACTGGGAACCATGAATGTAATTCTAAGACACACTAACGTACGGCATACATACGAACATGCGACCAGTAGAAGGGGAATGTAGCAACTCATGGGAACGTGTGGAAGGTAGTCATACCAATCACCGTGGCGGTCTCGCTATGGGAACCAATTCTGTGTATGTCTGTTCAGCATTGTGTGTATCTGTCACGATGTCTCTGCACTAGAATGTTGGCCTTGCCAGGAATCGAAAGTGGTCGTTTAGGCGACTATTTCATCCTCTAACCCATCTGGCCACTGGCCACGTGACCAAGGTCAATCCTTCCGACCTGGAAAGATCACAAACGAGAGATTCAATTGCGTTCCAGGTGAGCCCCTCGCAGAACCAAATTTGTTTGAAAATAAGTGTATTTCGCAAATCCAAGTTGTTTTGACGTGCTCCCAGCCAGTCCAGTTCATATACGGTTTCCTGTTGGTTCTTCTGTCGTTGCCTGACTGCACAGTAATGGTGGAACGGCGTGAAACGAGCTTGCTCCCTACCTTTTGTCCGTAGTCCTCTCGGCACGTTTGCACTCATTCGTAACTGGCGGCCCGAACGGACTACGTACTTCCTCTTCTTCACCTGTACATCGCTTCGAGTGTTTTGTAAATCAATTTAGGTGTGTCATCTAGGTTCCCACAATCAGGTTGCCACATTTGATTGTTACATCTGCTTTCTACAATATGCCACTACTGAACGCATGTTCTTGTGTATACATTGCCTGACCCGGCATGTTTTAGACCTAGACTCGTGGTTTCCACCACCCCATTAATCGTTTATCAGAGTCCTGTTGCCCACGAGAACATTTGTCGAAATCTGTCAATAGGAGTTCAAGCAGAACATTAGTTTGAGGGAATCTCGTGCACAGCGTCTACCTGATGAGCTCCAACAAGGGCGAAACTGGTAGTGGGTTGTCGAGTAAAGTGTAGCGTCTGGACAACTGCTGATGTCCTTGCTTTCCAATGTCCCAAGTTCATAATTCCTTACTCCTGTTGTCTGTGTGAGGCCGAATATTAGCAGCTCTGGAGATCCGTTACGTCACCCCAGGTTTGTAGTGTCTGTAATCCGTTGTCACATATCTACCATTTTTTCTGAACTTAAACTACACTTTGTAACGGTCGTAGTTATCGTATCATGACGTTTGTTATAATGTTACGAATACACAATTTTCCGTCGCGACTCGCTGACTTCTTGCTGAACGGGTGTACTTAGGCACCGTTGGACTGCTTGCTGACTGCTGAACCAGTGGGAGTAGATCTCTGTGTTTGCGTCAACTGTTGAACGTCACAATGAAGCCCCGTGACATTTTTCAGCCGTGAATAACTTTCCTATCGTGGAATATATCACTCACACGTGAATCATACGTGGGAAAGTTCTACGAGTGAATATTTTTTTCGCAGCCGGTCACTGCACTTGGATCGGTGTAGTGGATCTACGCATTCGTGAGCCCTCGTTTAACTACTCATTCTTTCATTGTGATTTTGTGATTTTGTATTGGTTGCTTTGCTTGTTAATTTGTTCGAACCCGCTAATAAGATCCTAGTCCGCTACAGGCTCTACGAGGGTCATATGGCACATGGAGTTTGCTAACATCTGTAAGTATTGTACAGGTTCATTATGAGTCCACACACTGCTACAATGTTTCATCAAACAGAGAGTAGTAAGGTCATGTGGTATACAAACCAAACACAATCCAGCCATTGGAGTTGGAGACAAGCCATTATCCTCCATGACTTCTAAGTCGATATGTATTCGATGTTTTCTTCGAAGAAGCTGCAGTTCTGAGCTCAAAATAATACATACAGCGCGAAGAAGAAAGTGTAATGAATATCAGGTCAAGGTGAATTTCGCCCAAGTGTTCCCCGTCAACATCGACTAAATCTACCAATCTATATGTGTCACAACATACATGTTCTTTGGCGTTCAGTTAGGCAATAACACTGTTGGAGATTAGGGGACAGAAGTACAAAACTGTTAGTGGGATGTCTAGAGATTTCATCGGCCACAGGAGTAGCATAGAAACACAACTCATTGTTATGTCCCAAGCATTAAAATCTGCAAACTTACTCCAGGTTTGCCCTTGGGGCCACGGAAACCAGGAAGTCCATCAGCTCCGGGAATGCCTTGGTCCCCTTTCTCTCCAGGGACACCTGGACGACCAGGTTCTCCATCAAAGCCTCTAGCTCCCTAAAGTGAGAAGAAATACAAATAAATAAATAAATAAATAGGAAGCACGAAGGCTGGGATACTGCCAGTTTACTCAAGCCTAGACAAGGAAAGTGGAGAAGCAGAGGCCGGGTTTGAACCACTGATCTTCCTGTCGGTAAATTCATACTCTAACCACTTAGCCGCACAACAGACTATAAGTTTGAAATTTGGTCCGGGCACATACAAAGTTAGGTAGCTATTTTCCTGCGAAAAAGTATGGTCATTACTGGTGGCCTATTGGCTTATTAATCAAACTAACCGAAACGTGTACGAAATGAGTTTCTGGACAACAATGACCAGTTTAGAGAAAGATATAAAGAAATCTTTCTATTGTATTGATAGCATATTTTACGCGTATAATGCTTTCTGAAGTTTTAGCACTTGTGATTTTACCCATCCCCACTGCTTGCGCAGAGTTCGAATGCAGCGACCAGTTGTAGGTGTACCGAATGAATTGTAGTATCACGTGATCGTTATAGGAGTCGACGGTGTGTAATGTGGATAAGTTAAGATGCCAAAAAAGACAAGTGTCCTGCTCCTTTTGAATATTGATTATTCTAATTGTGAAGGACGACGCAAAATTTTACTTGAGCAGATCATGCAAAACTCAGAGACTTACCGGCGCACCAGGCAATCCGGGGTTTCCAGCATCACCAGGTGGACCCTGGAAAAAATCGATAATTAGTGATCCAGTAAAGAAAGACCCAGAACCAGTAAACAATTATCACTGCATGAGAAGAGATTGCATTCGAAACTTACTCTGTCACCATGACGCCCAGGTAGACCTTTTTCTCCCCTAGGTCCCGGAGGTCCATCCAGACCCTGTTCAGTTCGGAACATAAAGATCAACGCATTGATAATCATAAAATGAAAATGTGTCTATCAGAAGTTAACATCATTGTGTTATCGGGATCAATAAATCATTCTGTAAAGGAATCAGAGAGCCATTTGGAAGATTGCCGTGTATTATCGGGCCTTCTATAGAGGAAAATGTCGGTAGCTCAAGTAGCGTAGATGGTCGTTGGCTTGTTCGCTGAGCTGGGCAATTTGATTGCAAACGTTTCATCGCCAGTCGTTGTGACATCATCAGTGCGTCATTGAGGAGCGCAGTGGTAAGTAGCGGTGGGTTAGTGGTTGTGCCAACCACTACCCAACCCAATAACGCACTGATGACATCACCTCGATTGGTGATAAGACGTTTGTAATCAAATTGCCCAGCTCACCGAACAAGTCAACGACCATTATTGAGCCCTCAGGGCGGTGAGTATTGAGAACGGTTGTACACACAAGGTCAACAGCAACTGAGTACGCGTCACCATCACAAATGACTAATGCTGCGCACACTGAGAAATTCGAAACAGTTTAGTATGTCAGTGGTGCTTTGAACGGAATCATCGTAACATGGAACAATTCGTGCCGATTAAATCACGACTCCATGAAATCTATTTGGGTAAGCAAGATTGATCACGTTGCTTGCGATCAAACAATACTTTATCGTTGCTACTGAGTATTATGCCCATCAGTAGTGGATGGAAGGATTCCAGTCAGCAAGAGAGAGACAAAATCAAACCTGAGAGCAAGTCGACATAGAGAAATAGGTCAGATAACCGTGAAGCAACAGTAAGCAACCGCTCGTGACCGAACGATCAAGTGTTCAAGCCACTGGTAGGAGGTCATGGGTTGGAATCTCCCTGAAGTTTGAAGAGATGCTTGCTGTTAATGATCAAGTGCAGTGCTTCTCGGTTCTTCAACAAAGATTGGCTTCACCTGAAGTCAAAGTCTCGTTTACAATCCGTGAATACTTCCAAGTACGGATGGGATTGACCAATGCAGTTGTCCGTCAGCAACGGGATTTATCTCATTGCAGGTATACTGTGACAAACCCCAGGCCAGCACGGTATTTTGTCTATGTTATGAAACTAAATCTTCTGTTTCACTTACAACTATAAGTTTTGTTTAAACGTTTTTGCAAAAGACGTTTTCACTTTCAAAGCCTGAAATAGGAAAACTTGATTTCAATGCGGCACAAAAGCAAGTCGTTTGCTTAAGAATAATGAAATCTCGTGGACAGAAGAACAAAATTATATTTTTTACACAGTTTTATCAGTTAGCCACCCCTTACTGCAATGTCCAGATTCGTATATTTAACTTTCCAATATGCCGAGCTCTGTATAGACATTCTTGGGTCGTACATATTCTAAGTCAGGGAACTATTCTTCAGCTTGAGGCCACAACCTGTCGTCTGTCGGTTCGAGCTATCTTTCAGAGTGATTCAGAAATATCTGAGGTTTATGCAACTTTGCACTCCAAAGTATTCACTTGATTGGCTTTATATCCCAGTACGCCTTGGAACAGAGCTTGCATTATTGTAATTAAGAGTTGATACGTTTTCGCTTGGTCACTTAGCAGTGGTCAAATGATCAAGGAGAATACAGTCCGTAACTACGACTCAACAGCAAGTATGTATAAAAATTCGTGTTAAGCTGTTTTGGTTTTGTCGACAAATCAGAAAATATGGGTCGGCATGATTGCAAACAGAACTCCGATTGTGAAAAATTTTAGCCACAAAAATGTATTCCTTCTTAGGAGTGTTGCTTGGTCGGGGGCGGCTGTTTTACAAAAATGAGGTACTGCATTAAACACACTGTATGTTAGGTAGTGACCAGGAACATAAAAGAACGTGAAAAAAGGCTGGAATACCAATACAATGTGAAAGAGAACAATTCTCGGAAGATGACTCCACCTACACCTGGGGGATGGAAGTGCCAAACAGCGGTTCGTCCACACTGGTAGAGAAAGAACAACTTCAAAGTGTACCAGGCTACTTAATGTTCGGTGCCAGTGGAATTCTATGTTCGAAGAAAGTCACGTGTACATTCGGTGCTGACTGATGGAGCCCTGCTGTGTTTCTTCCACAATCGCCGTTGACGAGCAGTTCAGCAGAGGGAGAACAGCAAGTCAGGAATTTATTTAAAATCTTGCCCAAAAGTCAAGAGGCGCCTGTTTGTCTCAGCCCATCTGTATACAGTACCCATAAATCAAGCGTCCCCTGATTAGTACAAACTGTCGATCGATGTGCGGGGTTATCCCCACGAGCGAGTGTGAGCACATGTTGCGTTTGAGCTGGTGAGAATGCATCCGAACCCATCGGTAGTTTGCACAAAGTGGCAGTAGCCTAGTATAGAGCTGAAATGTAAACCTCAACTTGATGGAACTGATGAATATATGAATATCATGGTCAACGTGTTGCATAGCCTAGTTTACCAAAATGTTTGCATAGTTCTATTTCCCATATTCCCAGGTTTTGACTTAGATCACTGTAATATGGACCAAACAAAACTTCACATCAACTGCAGTAGTGAGTTAAACACCTTACCGGCAATCCGGACTCTCCGGGAGGGCCAGAAGGCCCTCGTTCTCCTGGTGGTCCCTACAAACGAAGTGGGATAAAGAGAAGGTGAGTGAAAACCTAAGGTGACGGAAACACATAGGGAAAGTACACTTCTGTGCATATATGGGTTACCATGTGTAGAAATATATTTACTGGCCAGGGCAATCGGAAAAATTTTATAGACGCCATGATATATCCCCATAAATTTGATCCCATTTTATGAAAGTATTCAGGACTATATTTCCACCCGGTGTATACGATTCTGTTATATCTGCTGATTCACCAGCCTGTTACATCTCATCCCGCTCCAGTGCCTAGTGCCGGAAAAAGACTTACCCAGAGAACACAACAGCTTCCTGACGAATAAGCGAATGCGAGAACGTGAGGGCGAAGACACAATGGTCTAAAGCTATTTTATTGGAGAGACACTGCCTGGACTTGGTCCGACGCTGACTCACATCGTCTGGCTTCGATACAAGGCTGTGACACACTGCATATTGAGGGAGCGTTGTCTGTCTGGTCAGCATCTAGTGGAGCTAAGGGTCTTAGCAGATTTCGGGCATGCAGTGGTTAATTTCAGCAATCTGAGCTTCCTGAAAGATTCCATTCATAATTTTACTGGATATCACTTGCTCAAATGAAAGCTTCACGTAAACGTAGGTATTCGTAGCTAAAGAAAACCTGCTCTATAGTACACACTATCTTCAGAGAACGGTCTCCTAAAATGTACACTGGACCTCACAATTCGCTAGTCTCGAATAGGGACCTTTCGCAGTAGAATGCTACGTCCTAGAGGTTTGGAGAATCCCATCTTTGACCCGATGGGTAAAAAGCAATATTACTCCTTAAGAGTAAAGAAAAGCTCAGGCAGTTTTGGACTCCAGCCTTTTTCAGTTATCAGGAAACACGGATACGGAAATACGTGTCATGACAAGCCTGAGCAATACAGAAATTCTTGACATGTATCACAGAGCCGGAATTCAACGGTGGTCAGTCTAGACTTTATGGTCAAGATTGTTGACACCTCAAGGTACTCTAATCTCCTCTGGCAGAACAACAGCACAGTTCTCAGGGAAATTGACAAGCCCACTGGTTAACATCCTTGGAAGACTGTGGTGTGATGAGTACGTTGTTCTTGCTTTAAGAGGTTGAAATATAGATTTGTTAAGCAGGACCATCACATTTGTTTTCACTTACCATAGGACCTGGCACGCCTGGTGGTCCTTGCTGTGAATGAGCATCCAAAACACACGGGTAGCCGTCTGGACCACGTGGACCGGGTTGACCTTTGTCACCCTTCTGACCTTCAATCGTGATTGCCGATCCTGGACGACCCGGGGGACCCATTCGGCCTTGGACTCCTTTGAAGCCCTTCAAAAAAGCAGATTCAATAGACAAAATTAATGAAAAGATGCATACTTCTTCACGCGCTAGAAAATTGTATATACTGGTGATAATGAGCGAGTGGTACGTAGATAAACTACCAGGGACATAATGAACGGTTTGGCATACAAGAACATTGGTGTCCCGAGTTTTCAGCTAGTGTGACCAAGTGTAAAGAGTCTGGCGTGAAAGAATTTTTGTAAGCATGATGCTCCAAAGGAAATTCCCCTATCCAATGTGCTAGACTGGAAGCGGTTCACAAAGCAGCACAAGTAAAGATCCCCTGAAGGATCTGATGGACCAAAGGAGCTGAAAATGGGCCCAACGAACTAGTCCACAAGGACTAGCCTGCAAAGCCCACAAAGTACGAATCAGAAAAGTCAACCTCAAAGGTCACCTGTCAGTTGATCAATCAGAGCACCGACTGGTGGCTAAGACAAGGATCTTTGTGTCTGCAGCTTTCCAACGTCTACACAATCCTTATTCAGCAGTGACTACAAAAGATTGCGACCTGGAATCAACTGACACCCTGAAAACGATGACGCCTCAAACAAATCTCGGATTTCTAGGACGCACTGATTCTCTTTGCGGGGGGGGGGGAGTTGTATTTGCAATTGCATTTGGGTGACCTTCAGTAATGTTCAGATGGACTAAATCAACAATATTAATCCAAGTTAAAGTACACCCAAGTGAAGTTGAAAAACATTTCGCGTTATCCAAACATGCTTTTCTGATTGCTCACGATAGAAACCAAGTCACAGTCAGTCATTAAAAGTCAGAATAACCTCTCGGCTTGTATGAAATCTATTTGCCTGTTTCGACCATATTTTGGTTGTGTTGCAGGCACAAAACTCCACAGGACAACTGGCACATTGGCAAAGTTTCCTGTTACCATGAGCCTTCTAGCTATCAACGGGCTATTACCGTTAAAAACTGGTTGAGCTAAACCAACTAGCTGGGAATTTGAGATGCAAACGAGTCTATTATGTCATACATGGAAAATGTTCTCCATAATCTGTTTTCCACGCTCAGTATTGCCAAACAAATGAGGGTACGATTTTCTCTTCCCACTATTTTGAAAAAATCGAAGCGCGGTCTATCCATAGTCAAGAACAGTTTGGAGTGCTATGCATTAAATAGAAAGCAGCATACCTTAACAGACGGTCCGATCGGTCCGGGATCACCCCTTGGTCCTTTTTCTCCCATATCGCCCTGAAATATGGAAGAACAAGGTTGTAAGTCCAGCGTAGTGGTTAAGCTTCATCTGAATTTTCTGTACACTTACAGGATGAAATCTCAAGTGGAAAGACAAATATTTTACTGGTTGGTGCTAGCTCTCTGTACAAGGGTGCCCCCACTTTGTGGGTCACCAAGCCATCAGGCACAGATTGTGGGCTTCTACTGCTTAGTTTACGGTAAATGCGAACGCGCCGTGGAATTGTAGCTATCCGGTCACCCACATTCTTGACTGTTCAGCTCACAGCACTCACTGGATCACGAGACTTGTCTTTTTTCATACCCACAAACCACGTCACATTTAGGTAACTTATCGGAAGTCGATTGTCTTACCGTCTAGTGAGCGTAGAAGCTACTCATGTGCTGACACGCCCACGTACACGCAAACGGACCTACATATAGGGGAACCGAACACAGTCAGCACACAGACTCGCGCGCGCGCAGGGAGCAGGAAGTCAGCCTCTCTACAAGTCCACGGACAACTATGGACGACGTGTAGCAGCCATACTGCGGAGAAAACACTTTTCCGCCATCCGGACTTTCACCAAGGGACTCTCCAGGCGATAAGTTCCTCTTTTGACTTGCTTCCATTTTGCATTGTATTTATTTTTATACATATGGCATCTTACCGTTGTCAACTATACTAAAAACTTTTATCAGTGCATATACCTTCTGAATTGTATTATGGCCATCATCAGCAGGGCACTAATAGAATACGAAACCTGCTAGCTGCCAAAGATAAAACCAAGATCAAGTCAAACAGATGGAGCGTGTATGACTAAATGACCAATGGTTACACGCGAGTATCGAGGATGCTCGTTTGCTCACGGCCAGTCAGAGTCCATCGACAAATGTCATCAAAAGTACATAAGCAATCTAGTTACAGGGATGTGGGTCTTGCTGACCGCCACACTGTCGTACCAAGAGCTGGTATCAATCATCAGTTACTGTGCCTTGATGGTGGCTTTGTTACCATCCCCTGATATTTATCATCCGCCGGGGTGTAACGCGCGTGAGTGGCGATCCAGCTATCCAGCGCAAATAACTTATGGCCTTATCTATCCTACTAGGGAAACCGTCGCCTTAGTTTGATTTGTCAAACAACCCGGAAACTGACGGTTTGTATTCGCGGATATAATTCCCTCCCTATCTTCTCGGTTCGAGTTCAATGATCCTACATAGGGGATTGACGTATCAGATGACAGATCTTACAGGGAAGTGGGCAAATTTGTTCGTTTTGACCTCCATTTACATCAGGAGTGAAGGCGTAGGAAAAAGCTTGGTAGACCACTGGTTTTCCGAGTTCTCATTCGCCATAAACGTGATAACTGTTCTTCATAGTTGAGTCCATGAGTATTTTAAAATTTTATCGAATCTCTACACCAATATCAGCGTAACAACAACGAAATCGCTGGGTAAAAGTGGGGTATGCGTATTATTTCTCTCCAAAAAAAGTGCAAAAGGAAAACGCTACATTTCATCAGCAAGGACTTCTCGACAAGCAAGTTGGGAAGATCCGCTATGGATAAATAGCAATTAAAAAACTGTTATTAAGACGTACTGTTTGCCCAGTTGGTCCAGGTGGCCCGTACACACCCTGCAAAATAAATTTGGCAAATGATTAGCGGTTGATTCCAGTTGGTAAGAAAATCTTCCTATCGATTCGTAGGAATTACAAACAGATTTGAAAAAAAGTGTGCAACTTTCCATCGATCGAGTTTGACGGTGTATACTGGCAAGGAAATTAGTTAAGTGCAGCTTGTACAAGCTCCGTTTACAGAGAAACTCTGTGAAGCAGCGTCCGCAGCCCTTTTTAAGTCACAGAAAGAGAAAATATACCTCTAAAATGTTCGACTCATTGAAACCGCTTGCGTCATCCCATCAGCTTGGAGAAACAGACCGATTAAGCTTGGACAAGGTCTCAAACGCCTGATTTGAAGTTGAGCACATCCATGCAGTGCGGAGAAGAAATGGATACCTTAGTTCTTTCAATAATACCGAGTGACGTCAACCAACTGAAAACATATACTATTTGGACGAATATAAATATGAAGTAAGGATACTCTAAGCATAGGTACTATTCAAGAAATACTGTATTTCGACTAGACAAACAATACGAAGTTATTGAATATACCCGAAAGACTCTGTACATGTGGATGATAAAACTGAAAATGCCTCTGAATTACGGCGTTTCGGTTGCTAGAAAGAAAGCAAGCATCCAGCTGTAGCACCCTTCCGGTGCCTAGCTGTCATACCACCCAAGGGAAGCACGATGGCTGAGATACTGCCAGGATGCCCAAACCTAGACAGGGGAAGTCGAGTGGCGGAGGTCGGAATCAAACCACGGACCTTCCAGTCAGTAAATTCGCGCTCTAACCACTTCGGCGATCTCTCTCGGTTGCTAGGTCAAGTAAGCAGGTTAAATAGGTAAACAGTAACGTGTACGTGTAGTTAAAGACGAATGTGTTCAAACCCGGACTACCGCTCAGTCGCGTAAGCTAGAAAAGACTTGGCAGTTACACTCGATGCCCTGTCAGAGAGCCACATTGTGGAAATAAACTATGTCAACCTACTACCGTACACAGAACGTCGCTGTGAAGAAACCCTAGCTATGATTTTTCATTCGGGATGTGACAACTGCATAGATGCCCACCATCTGTCTGTGGTCTGAATATGACTGATTAATGTCAGAATTAATGGACGTGCACATGTAAGCCTGAACCGGACCAATCGGAGCAGCGCGTCGCATATCGATTGAGCCGGTGGCACGTGTTCAATTGTTCATGTGATATCATTCACTTCGCTCCTGAGGAAATTCGCTCAAGGTGACTGAATCGTTGGACAATGAGACTCCGCTCGAAAAGGCTAAAAAAAACTCTGACATATCAGTTTTGAGCGGTATTCCTGAAAGTGATGAGTAGGGTTTAATAGGTACATTACACACACACATTACACATACGTAGAAATTCGAATTTTTGTTAGAAATACTGGAGAAAGGTCGACTATTAGTTCAGCGCGTACTTAGACAAAAGCGCGCTTCCATAAAATAATAAAGGTTTCACAGTTTTGGGTGTGATATAAAATGCCGGAAAGTGTCGTGGCCATGGATATCGGATAACATGAGTCACGGAACCGGCTGTTTTGCTAAACTTTAATGGCGATCACTGTGTTATGAAGCTTCATATTGTATTTTTATCAATATAGGCCGCATTTTGTTGTCAAGGGTACACGTGAAGCTATTCGAGAGATGGCTCAAAAACCCAGTGGATCACAGTGGAGAGGAAGTATTTATTTCCGACCAATTTCAACGTTTACGGAAACATTTCTGTCTGGGTGTTTTCCAGAGATAACTCCTGAACCACAGCTAAATCGAATTCGTGGATTCAAGTTGCACAATCTCCCAATTTGATACAGGTTAGAAGCGATTTGTGACTCCAGGGAGGTGTTCACAGTTTAACCGTGTCTCTGGGGATTCTAGCATTAAACCAAAAAAAGTTTTCTTGGAACCCAGTCTAGTCAGAATTCACGTGGTAAGTAACATAATAGATAATCGTCCAGTTGGTGACATGCCACTCGAAGGAAGAACGAGGGATGCCAGGTTGCTCAAGCAGGGAAGCCAAGAGACAGAGGTCGGATTCGAGCTACAGATGTTCTCTTCAGTAAATTCACGCTCTAACCACTGAGCCATCTCGCCCCCAGAGTCCATTGGAAAGGAACAAAAATCATGGACTCTGGACCAAGTCTTTTCATGCCCATTGGTCATTGTTTACTTTGCTTATCATCTCTCGGACAAACTCCACATTCCTAGTCCCATTTTTGCCAAACCCAGTGAAAATCAAGTCACTAGCTACCAAGAGAGTCCGGCTTAAACAACAATTATTATTATTATTATTATTATTATTATTATGCCACTCGAAGAAAGCACGAGGACTGGGATACTGCTAAGTTACCTAAGCCTAGACAGGAGAAGTTGAGATGCAGAGGTCGGGTTCAAACCAACAGTTGTTCCGTCAGTAAATTCACGCTCTAACCACTGAGCCATCTCGCCCCCAGAGTCCATTGGAAAGGAACAAAAATCATGGACTCTGGACCAAGTCTTTTCATGCCCATTGGTCATTGTTTACTTTGCTTATCATCTCTCGGACAAACTCCACATTCCTAGTCCCATTTTTGCCAAACCCAGTGAAAATCAAGTCACTAGCTACCAAGAGAGTCCGGCTTAAACAACAATTCCATTTAGTTTTGGTGTCCACCACCCATGGTGAAGGCAGCTGAAATAAAACAGAGACATACCTTTTCACCTGGTGTGAAGTAGATGACCTGTCCGGGTTGACCTTTTGGACCCTGTCGACCCATGGGTCCGGGTATACCCTTGAATCCGAAATTTCCGGGTGGTCCAGGAATGCCATTTTCACCCTGAAATCAAATAGGAATACGTTCGGAGGTGAGAAAATGAGCCAATGTGAAAAAGTACACAGAGATTTTACTCATAAGGTTGCTGAAAATCCGTTCCGTCGACATGACCGGTTTCGCTCTCCTCGGGGCTCATCAGGTAGGAGCTGTCCCCGAGTTTCCATCAACCTTATGTTCTACTTGAAACCAAATTGCGAAATACACTAATTCGCAAACAAATTTGGTTTGTGTGGAACCTTACCGCACCTCATCTTGTTCTTCAAGGACGAAGGGCCCCTTCGCAGTAGGTCCTTAAATTTATTCCCCTTCATCTCTACAGCGTTCTTTTTCCATGACTGTGTGGCAGCCAAGCATCAGCATATTCTGCTAATGCATGGATTCCAGAGTGGTCGAAGGTGCTTAAGAAATCTTCAGTGATAAAAGCCTTGGAATTCGGCTGCTGACTAAGAGGTCGACGATTTCAACACACCACTGCTTTAGATTCGTTACCAACCTCTCATGCACTTTTTGAGTTGCATGCGAGATCCGTGTCCCGAAGCAGGATCATTGGACGCCATAATTTTGATGCTTGTTACATGTTTGCTCTGAGTCAAATCAACGTAAGATCGATCGGGTGAAGCTAGATGCATTGGTCCAGTCCTTATTTGAAAACATGCCTGGTTCGCACAATAAACAGACCTCATAACTTGGTTATTTCAGCTGTGTAAGATAAATCTTTAGCCTTGATGTTTAACTAATAAGTAGTGAAGCAGTTGATGGACGTTTCTTGCGCTTGGTCTCAAACCAAAGACTGTGGATTGCGAAGTTGTAATTTCGCGTGTCCAATCTGTTATCAGCTGACGGGAGTTGTTATACTCACAGAAGTTGTATTTGTTTGTCATGATGCTATTTTGTTGGAAAAAGTACTGGATTCGAGCTTCGATTCTAATGCACCTTATCATTAGTGCCAATCCCTCGCATTGCCTGAGAAACCGAGCCGAAAATGCATTAAACGCACTTGAAATGTTATAAGTGAACAAATGAATAGATTCAGGATTCAGCCATCTAAACAGCTTGCTGATAGTTTAGAATGTATTATCATGTAACACCACAACCTTGAAAGCCCATGAAGGAACATTTTCACACAAAAGGGCACTGAGTAGCCAGGTTCAACTGTTTGTTTTATGTTTCAATTTGATGGGGGTGGTTCAACTAAACCTTTGCTCAAAATCTCTCACCACTCTTCAGTCCATCTGTAAGTGGCATTTGCTGTGTTTTCGACGCAGTGTGTTGTCTCAGAC